CAAACAAATGAACTAAAAAAGCCCCCCACCCCAGACTTGGGATAAGAACACCTCCTCAGGCTTCTCCTCCCTGACTCTGTCACCGAAAACACAGCAAGCAGCATGCTCCAAGGCCCAGACCCTAGCTTGCTGCTCACCAGGTCTGCTGGTGTTGCTCAGGTGGTGGCTGCTGCTCACACAAAGTCCACTCACTTGGGGTTGTTTTAAGTAAAGTGAGGGCAGCAGGCTCTTCCCCATGCCTTTGTCCCACAGTTAGAGATGAGAACTGAAAATAAGGTTATTATGGAGATAAGGGGCCTGTTTTCTAGGAGGGGATACTTTAGAAGCAAACAGAATAAATCATCCAGATGACAATACAGTTGAGCCTTGAACAAGGCGGGGGTTAGGGGAGCTGACTCCCATATAGTCAAAAATAACTTCTGAGTCCTCAAAACTTAACCATAGTCTTTCAGTATCCATGGAGAATTGGTTCCAGGACTTCAGCAGACACCAAAATCCGCGGATGCTCTAATTCCTTACATAAAATAGCAGAGAACATTGCACAGAGCCTGCCCTCTGCATCGGTGATTGACTGGACACACAAATGCAAACCTGGGGATATGGGGCATGCAGGGGAAAAGGCTGCATATAAGTGGTCCCATGCACTTCTGCCCCTGTTGTCTGAGGGTCCTCTGTATTGGTTTTGTGTGAAATGGTTGAGGTGGGCCCCAGAGCCAAAACATTCATTCTCAGCAGAATGGGAGAAGAGCTGAGACTGTGGCCATACTGGGGACTGGCCATCACCCAGAGTCCAGTATGGGGACAAGCCCACCCACCACCTCCCAGGGAGAAGCTTCTCACTGCCCAGGGCAGCCCCAGGCAAACTCCTCAGAAGAGGGGACAGGGACACTGGGGGTGACCCTGCCTCCACCCTCTCTTACATGACAGCCCATCTGCCGCATCTCCAGATGTCCTGAGCTTTCAGGCTCCTTCTCTGCCCCTTCAAAACTCCCCATCTTCCAAAGATCGTTTCTATTACAATGAAAGCCACGTGCCCTCTCTCCCAGGGAGTTTCTGTTAAAGTCTTCTGTCTATATTGAATAGCCAAGGCTTCAGTGAAAGATTAGGAGAAACTCCTCACACCCTCACCCCATGAATGATTACTACTCCCAGGACTCAGAACCCACCCTGGCTCATCTGAGCTGGACCTTTCTTCCTCTGGGTCACCTGGAGGACCCTACACTTGCCCTTCTCCAGCCGTGCATGAGAAATGAGTAGGTGGGCAGAACCTTTCCCTTCACTTCCAACCTGTGAGCTGGGGACGCAGGATCCCCCATTCCCTCCCCACTTCCAGGTCCTGCATCATCTCCTCTGATGGACAGACAGACTATGCCACTGTGTGCACCCCTGAGCCCAGGGGGTGGACGAGGGAGAGCTATTTTCAGGGGTAAGTAGGGCCGGAGCCTGAATGTACCAGCTAGGGTGCCTCCTGGCATGCCCCCAAGGCCCCTGGCTGCCGTTTTCAGGTGCAGCACTCCCGGGAATCTAAGAATTCTAAATGTAAACTTGGCCTTCCGATAAATGCAAAGCATATTTGTTAAGGTAAAGAGATAAATTATATCTTACTTAATGGTTCATTAGCTTGGTTGAGAACTTTTAAATATTTACACATTCTCATGTGGGCTTCTGTTTTTGTTCCTGTCCCAGGCTGGCTAGGCAGAGAAGCTTCTGTTTGATGTCAGGTGTGCTCTCTAGATACACACCCAAAATTACAGGAGAGGGAAACGTCAGAGGATGGAGGGGAAGACAGGGAAGGGAGAAAGAGTAAAGTGCTTTATTTCTGCACTGAGCCCATAAATTTAAACTGTGACATTACTTCAGGTTTCCACTGAAAAAAAAAATGGAGGCAAATAGTCATAAAAAAATGTTTTTCTTCTCATAATTGGGATGTATGGAATCTTGTTGTGCGTTAAAGTAAGAAAACACCTTTTAAAAAGGATACAGGCATGTCAAAAACACCCAGGAGCAACTCCAAGGAGCTCCCATTGGCCAAATCTTGGACAATTTAAACATCAAAATAAATAATAAAAGTAATAGACCAATCTATTGAATAAAATAGGAATCCACGAGTTCATCCTGATATAAATAAATACTTAAATAAATAAAGATAAGAAAAGAAAAAGTACTATTTTTATAGTAGAAAGCAAACTAAGTGTGGAAGGACTTAGAAAATTATCACTTGTCAGGCATTATTATGGTGATGCTTCAGCAAGAAGAATCAACAGATGCTAAAACCAGTGAGTGAAATTTAGACAAGAACAGCACACTTACATACCCTCAAGGTATAATCTGACAAAGCGTTTAGTAATTACAAAAGACAGAAAGAGCAACTTCACAGTGGAGAGGCCTTAACAGGCCAGGTCCTCATAGTTAATGTCACCAGAAGATGACAGACACGCTGACACCACGCATTTCCTGGTACGGCACAGTAAGAATTTGACAGGACCTCTATGGTGTCCTGCCAAAAATTCGTAACTGCAATGTAATCATGAGGAAAAATCAGGCAAACCCCAAGTGAGGGACATTCTGTAAAACAACTGGTCTAATTTCATGACCTTTACAACTGTCGAGGTCATAAAAGACAAAGATGGACCACAGACTAAAGAGACAAATGCAATGTGTGGTGTGTGATGGTGGATTGGATTGTGGATGAGAAATATGTGCATATTGCTATAAAAAAAAAGTTATTGGGACAATTGGCAAAATATGACTAAGGTCCATAGGTTATAGTATTATACCAATTTAAATACCTGGGTTTTATCATAGTACTGTGTTTAGGTAAGAGAGTGTCCTTGTTCTTAGAAAGTACATATGACAATGTTTAGGAGTAATGTGGTATCGTGTCTGCAACTTACTCTTTGATGGTTCTGGAAAAAATATGTATAAAGAAGCCAGAGAGAGACAGTGATAAAGCAAATGGTAGAAATCCAGATAAAAAGGTTACAAGATTCCACTCACTTCCCTTATTTCTGCATCCCCGGCCCTCCCGGCCCTGCCTGCTGGCCAGCCCCACCCCGAGAAGCCCTCGGCCAGCCCCTGACAGTCTCTGCGAAAGAACTCCCCGGGGCGGGGGGGCGTCCCTCACCCACCTCTTCCCAGTCCGCCAGAGACCACAGAGCACCAGCTAGGTTTTCGTAGACTTTCCAGAACACGGAACCCAAGGGCCAAGAAGAGGAAGCCGAACAATAGATTTGGGGGTAATTATGAAACTTCAGCCCAAGAGGGCTAAAAATGCCAAAAATTATAATAAAACTCTCCAATGACACCTCATCTTTTATACCCAATATTTTGTACATGGTCCTCCATGTTGTTTTTCATCATAATTTTACAATTAGGCAGCACATTGACCGCAAAGCTCTGTTGCTTGAGGCGTGCTCACTGACTTCCCTGCGCGAATTCAGGATAAAGCACAGGACTCCGCAACTTTGCGTCACTAGCATCAGCACTTCCAGTTCTTCCCACTCGTCTTTGTAACAGAAGGACAAAAATGCAACGCTGCCCAGGGCTGCCACCCAGAAAAGACAGCGATGCTGCTAAAACCCGAGTGTCGGCTGAGGAGCGACACCACCGTGTGACGGTTCAAAACGTCCGTTTGCCAGCTGGTGATTCAGGCCCAAACCTCACCCACACACGGTGGCTTATGGGCCGGTGAACAAAGCACCAAAATGTGAGCTTTGTGAAACTGGGACTTACAAAAGGAAAAGGACAGATATAAATTACTGAGAGGTAAGAGTCAGAAGAGCGCTTACAGAGCTACAAAAATATAGCACGATGCTCCTGACCTGTGTTCAGCGGACGTAGGTTTCCTCCTCCCGGCCCCCATTCAGCTCTCCTGAATCCGTACTTACCCCTCACCATGTGTGTTACTGAAATTATTAATCAGTGTAAATATAAACACACACACATACATATACATCCTGAACTAAGGTGGGGAATGCTGGTGGGAGCGGGTACAGGGTGGAGGGGAATAAAGGGGAGAAAAATGGGACAACTGCAATAGTATAATCAATAAAACATATTTAAAAGAAAAAAGAAAATGATCGTATTTTATCTTTCTTTTTGACCAGTTTCTAGGTGCACACAGGTGTTCAACACAGAATTGTGGAATTAATGAATTATCTGAATCAGTTATTCTATATCCTGTATCTGGCCCAATCATTACTGCCCACTTACCTCAAGTCACTCCTCTAACATTGTACAGTAATTCACAGTGTTCCTGTTCACCCACCAAATACATAGATTTAGAGACTGAAAAAGCCGATGTTTCACAATCCCCAACTGCCTGCAATTTCCTGACTTAACTATAGAGAGATTTATTTTATGTTTTTCAAATAAAGATGTTCTTGATGTGTCTCCTAATGAAATGGAAATAGCACGTCCTGAAAACCAAGCCAAAATGCAAATTCAAGGTATTTGGGCCTAAACTTGGTGAGGAAGCAATTACGTAATTTAAGTAAGCCCTTAGTTTTAGAGTTCTTATTTATTACAAAAGAAAATAATGAAGCTATAAATATCTTCTCACTGATGAGAAAAAATATTCAAAAATAATTTATAATAAGCATAGGATTCTCTCATTCAAAGAACTAGAGTAAATCATCTCATATTTTAGACAAAAGCATATTTTCAAACTTCTCCCACTTCATAGACAAGGAAACTAAGATACTATTTCCATAAGCAGGTTTTCCTGGTGTGCGGTGTGGCGGGGTGGGTGGGAACCAAACTGTGCGTCAAGTGGTAGAAGACAGACACGTCACCACCAAAACGATGTGACCCACGCCTGGGACTCCAACACCGTCTTCAAACTGCTCACGTCCAATGCCCTGACTATTTGTGAGCAACAAGACACAAGCAAGAGCCTCAAGGGACCACAGAGAACTTTCAGTATATGTTTTATGAATAGCAATAGAGTTACCTATGGCTATGCCAGATGAACAAGACAGCAAAGATCCGTTTAAACTGACCTTTTCTGCAGCCACGGGAGGTAGGCGGAACCTTCACATTTCAGGGTGGTGAACGCCTGACCGAACGCATGTTCGGGAAACTTCCTCAGCTCAGCCTCAGTCATCTTCCGAAACCCCAGAACCACGTCCGCCCAGAACGGTGCTTCCTCAGTAGGAATGCTCCGAAATATCTGCCAGCTCAAACATATTAGGGGAATTAATTTCCTGAAATTGGGTGAATTAACACATTTCTGGTGAACCGCATGTGACACTCTCTAAAGCACTGGAAAATTCACACTTCTTATACACATAAAAAGAAAAGGATCTATTCTCCCATTCTTTTGGGTTCCTATAACTCAGTAGCTAAATTTAAAATGTTCATGATGGGGAGGAATAAGACATTTGAAAAGTTGTGTCTTTTAGAGATTGAATTTAATTTTCTTCTTTCCAAAAAACTCTTTCGCAGATTTTTTTACTTACTTACGACTACATGTATTTGAGGAAAGGATATTTTTCTGCTTTGCATAATGCTTTACATAAATTATAAGCAAACCATCAAAAGTTTAAAGGCTGGCCTCAATTCTGAACAAAATACCTAAACTGGAATGAGCAATGGTGTGGGTGCCGGAGGACAGTGTGTAAATTCTGACGTATGTTGTAGGTCATGCATTCATTAAGGTCTTGAACAGAGAAGCCAAGAGTTGTCCGGAGGAGCCCTGGCACCAGTAAGTCATGGTTGGGATGGATGAGGCTGTAATGGTCCTTCCAATAGCTGCTGGGCATATGTTTGGTTTATGACTGTTGGATTGTTTTCATCAATGGGAATAAATGTTGTAAATCATGCTTGCTCTAAAATAGCCAGGAAAATCATGTGAGTGCTATACATGCTGGTGATGTGATATTAATATACCAGAATTTAAGTAATTCACAATTAAGTGATTACTTCAAAGCAGTCCTTGTGGAAGGCATAAATGCTTGCTGCAGGGCTACAGTGGGTGCTCTTTCTGTCTCATCTGCACACTCTCCCTGGGCTGCATTGCCCTCCTCCATTTCTTCACCATCATCTGTAGGCCAGACACTCAGAAGGCTACATCTCCAGCCCACTTCTCTCTCATGAGCTCCAAATCCAGACCCAGACCCACGCTTCCTGCTCCCCATCAGATGTCTACCTCCATGTCTCATATATTCACTGCCCCCCACACACTGCCCCTACCCTCCATGTCTCATGCATTAACCCCCTGCACACACTTCCCCAACAGCTCTATCCAACTCAGAAAATGGGACCCATCCACACAGGTGCTCATGCCAGAAACCTAAAAATCATCCTTGACTCTCCTCTCTCACCCCCTGCATGCCATCATCCATCAGGGTCCATCAGTATCTCCTCTTAAGCATTTCTCAAATTTACCCACCCCCTACCCTCACCATCAATAGCTAATCTATCCCACCATCATCTCTCTCCACAGATCTGTTCTCACACTACAGATGGAATATTTTAAAAATGTAAATATGGTCAATTACTTCACTGTGTAAATCCCCTCAGTGGCTTCCCATTATGCTGGAATTTTTCAATCCCTCCACCACACCACGGTCACCCCAGACCCAGGTCTGGGCGTGCGCTTTTCCCTCTACCCAGAGTGCTGCCTCCTCTGTCCCCTTCACCTCTACGCCTCACCAGACTAACCTACCCACACCTGAATGGTCTTCACCAAAACCACTTTTTCCCTAGTGGCGACTCATAAAACCCCAGAGCAAGTTTATTCTCCAGATAAATGCTTCCATAGCACCTGCCCTTTCCCCTCGGGAATGTGTGTCTCACCTGTAACTCAGCAGAGTTAGGGCACTCCCCACAGACCATGAGCTACGCAAGGGCAGGACCGCATCGGTCTTTCTCAAAAGTTCACTCCACACATAGTTATTGAGAATCTACTATATGCCAAGCAGTATGTACTAAACTGCCCATTTACATATCCCTGATACCTAGGACAGGACCTGATCTGATGAATGCTAAAAAGTTGTTTTGGAGAAATGAACAGATGAATAAGGATATATACTAAAGCCACAGGTGCGCAGGACACCGTGACCTGGTCGTGCTTGATGGACCCAAATCCCGTTTGGAAGCCAGTGGACTAAAACTCATTCATGTGGGGGAAACAAATAACTAACTCTCTTTTAGAATAACTTAAAGTATGTCCTTTTTAACATCCTCAATGGTGACAAAGTCTTATTCTTGAAAGGATATTTGAATTTTGAACATAGCTGTTTTTTAAAAAAATTACTTAGAGCCCAAGTTTGTGAATTAGACTGGACCACATTGGCTTTGGACAAAAACAAAGTGTTTTTATAAGTGGCTATATATTGACAAAAACCTTTTTTCTACGTGGCTCATCAGCTGACTTTGGAGACAGGTATAGTATCCGTCCATCTTCAGAAGGCAGAGAAGTGAAAGAATTCCCCACTGCTTCCGGCGAAGACTGTGGGGAATTAGTGAGTCAGCATCCTTCGGTGTTTGTGGAGGTGAGGGCGGGCAAGAGGCGGGAAAGGGCAGAAATCCGCCTGAGGCAGGTGTGTGCACCAGCAGAAAATGCCAGCACACAGCCTGATCTCAAAAGAGGAGAGAGGACACTTTGTGTTTTATCTTGTTTTTGTTTTAGAAATAGCACAGAAGGTGCAGTGGACTTCAGAATTTAGCAAAAGGACAGGGATGAGTATAAAGGACACATGGACAAAAGTTAGGGGGGTGGAAGTGGGAGGGAGGTGGGGAGCACTGGCGGGGTGGGCTGGGATGGGAGTAAAAGACAGAAAATTGTACTTGAACAACAATTAAAATAAAATAAAAAACCACTAATACTAAAATTCACAATAAAAATAATATGGAAGATGCTTAGAGAAAATTTAAAGCATATAAAAAAAGAATTTAGCAAAAGACAGCATCTCCCCACTCTTCTGATGGCAGAAGGGCATGACTGCATCACAAGGCAGGGCAACCGGACAACACACAGGTTCCGTCACAAACTGAAAGTGATAGAATGGTTTGTGGTCTCAATGTAATGTAAGAACTTATTAAAAGATACTGTCACATGTCAAGTGCTCATTTGTGTTAGAAATGTTCCATGGGATTTATTTTTAAACTCCTTGTTGAACTGTGTGCCTCCAGCAATCAGATATGAAGAATCAGATGGGACTGTGATAACCATTTCAGAAACATTTTTTCCCAAGTGGCACTTCAAAAGGTGACTTCGGGGACCTACAAAATTCACACTTTTGGAACACAGCATTCTCCAAGGACAGTAAATGTGTCAGATGTCCCCGTATTTTCAGGCTCTGCACCCATTCCAACGTCCCACCTGTTCACGTCCCATTGGCCACACGACCCTCACATAACCCCCTCACTGCTTACCTGACATATTTTTGTAACTGTAATTGCAAGTCACTGCACAATCCCCGAGGAAACTCAAAATAGTATTTGTGATGGGGAACTGTAATGGTTGTTTATTATTTAAAAATCTAATACTGTAATTTGTCTTTCTTGAGTTCTTTGGAGTAAAGTCTAAAACGTTCCTCTAAACCCTCCCACATCCAGGTCAGTGCTCCACTCGCAGCAGACTCTCCATGCCGACTGATGTCACACTCTGAACTCTGTTCGGATCATTCTGAATTCAAAAACAACTTCAGCTTTGCTCTCTTACCCAGACACGAGATGAATGCCAGCTTCTCCAGCTTCTGCAGAATTGGCGACTGCAAATAAGTGGTCAAAGGTCTCTCTAAACCACTGCTTCTGCTTGTGAACGGGTGTGTCTGTAATCACGGAGAAAAGCAGAGTGGAACAGAAAGGAAAATAATGATAATGGCGATGCTTCAGATAAGCTCCTTCATTTGGATCAAGTACCACACAGTGGAGGATATATCCGCAACCAAACTTTTGAATATTGACATATGCTGTAGTCATCTGTCCGTGTAATGATTGACCTACAAAGTGGAAACCAGTCAACTGGGGCAAACTCCAATAGGTGAGCCTGCTGGCAGGTGGACTTGGGCCCCACGTACATTCTGGAGGTCCTCGAAGGGTCTGTAACCCACCTGAGCAGAAGTCTGTCGTGGCTGAGGCATCTAGCAGGCCATACAGTTCAAACGGTGGGAGAAAAGGAACCCAGGGCCACTTTCCTGGAGACTGAAAACATGGCGGACGACCAGGGAAGATCAGTGTGGGGGGCCCAGCTCTACCAGGACAGAGAACGGAATGCATATCCATGGGAAGCTCAGAGAGCTCGCCCTCCTGCTGCAGGGAAGCAAGACCTGTATTATGAAGTTAGCTCCTCGGGAAGCGCTCCCTGCAGCCCCAGCCAGGGCTCCCATTTCTTCCAGCCCCGCCACTCCATGAACTCATGGGCCAGCTTGGAGCAGCACCTCAGGTCAGCAGGGTCTGCTGGACCACGCTGGGCGCCACCGCTGGCAGAGTCCTGTGGACCAGTGCTCCCTATCCCCCAGCCCTCCCAGCCAGAGCACCAGAGATGGGACCAGGACGCAGCTTCCGGAAGGGTGCCAGGCCTGTCAGGGAGGAAGTAAGGGTCAAGGTTCAAGCCCCCAAATAAAAATGTCCAATGCAGGTACAGAGAAATCCAACTATGGGTAAAGCATTTGGCCCTCTGATTCCTGTGGAAGAGTCATGAGGGAAAGTCCAGGGTCAGGCCAGAGACCAGAGTGCAGTAATTCTGAGGGGTTGCCATGGGGACAGCCACAAAGGAGATGAGAGAACTGAGGCAGAGAAGATTCTGGATGAGCTCTGCTTGGAGGGATGTCCCTGGAGTTCACAGAGCAGGTGCGCAGGCCCCTGGAGTCATCCTGCTCCCCAGACAAAGCCCCCAGGTCACTGAAGGCATTTCTTTCTGTAGCAGCATTTAAAATGCATTACAGAACCCACAAACATTTCTTTAGGGGTAGGCCTGGGCTACCTTTAAACATGGGCCTCTGTGAAATAACACTGCATTCCAAAAGGGCAGACTGGGCTGCCAGTGTAGAAATAAGGAAGAAATAAATAATAAGCTGCAATGAAAACTAAATTTGACCTCTAAGGATCAGACCCCAACAATCACAGCCAGTGTATGGGGCTGTACTGAAATGCATTCCCCCTGTTCCCACCCCAAAAGTTAAAAACAAAATAGTGGGTGAGATCCGCCTACTGCAGAAGTCATCCCAAAAGAACCAACAATTCCAGTTCAACAGTGGGCAGAGCAAGCCTGGTGAGCTAACTCATGTTAAAGTGCTGGGAAAAGGAAAATGTAGCTAGAATGGAGGAGTAACAATAGCAAATACGGACAGAGCACTTACTATGTCCCAGGCACCGCTCTAAGTGTTTTTACCTAATTAACTCACTTAATTCTCACACGACCCTGTAAGACCGGCATGGTCCCCATAGGGTGATGATACTCATGAGCGCAGAGGACATTTACCACCAGGCCTGGTCTGAAAGAAGCCCAGAGAGACCAGAGTCTTTATCCAGCAATACCAGAGAGAGGCCCCTTTGCAGGGCCCCAGCCACTCTGCCAGAGTGTGAGCTTGGGCCTCGGTGGCCTGGATGAACTCTCAATGAGCCTCCTTTGAAGATGATTCCATGACTATCAGGTTACCTTCTGGCCACTCACCTGGGCCTGGTACAAGCAAAGGGGCTTCTGGAAAGGGGACACAGAACCCTGGTTACACAAAAGGCACCCAGAGTGAACTGGCATTCTGCAAACACATCAGGTGCCTGTGCTGGCTCCCTGCAAGGCAGCACCCAGAAGATACATCAGCATCACAGGTGCTGAGAAAGCCACATTTCTGCAATGCCAACGCCACTGCACTCCCTCCCCACCCTGGCAAATAGTGGGTTCATTCTCTGTTAGATGAAACAGGGGGTCTCTGGGCTGGGAAACACCAAGCACAGGTGAAGGCAGGGATACCACACAGAAACCGGAGGGTTAAGGAAACACATGTCATCCAAATGCTAAGACCCCAGCCTTCTTCCCCCGCCTTCAAGGATGAGGCCAGCCCAGGCTTCACCTTCCCCAGCCAGGGGGCTAGAAGACTGTTCTCTGAGGAACATGCTGGTCAGAGAAAAGACTTAAACTTGATGACATCACAGGTTCCCCAACTAAACAGCCCTGCCATCTCTCTCCAGTGAGGCTCGAGGCAGCAAGCCCTACACAGCGCTCAGAAATTCCCACTGGCTACTTAGGGCCTCACTCTGGGCTGTCCAGCAGGTGGGTAAAGATGACCGCTGGCCAAGGATAACCTGCAGCCTGGAAAATGAGAACACCCAACAGCACAACACAACTTGGGACAACAGAAATTTTTCAGGGAGAAGAAACTTTTTAAACTATGATTACTATCTTCAGAAAGATAAGAAAAGTTACTACAACTATAGAACACGAAAAGGATGCCATATCAAAGGAAAATTCAGAAAACAAAGCAGAGCTTCGTAAAGTTAAAAATGCTGCAGTTGAAATTAAAAATTCAACAGCAAGGTAAAAAACAAAACTGAGAAAAATTCCCGGAAAGTCAAATAAAAGAGAAAGAGACAGAACCAGGAGGGCGGAGGGGACGGCGCCGAGAGAACGGGAGGACCGCCCTGGAGGCCCAGCGCAACAGCGACTCCACGAGGAGAGACAGAGACATTGAGGGGAGAGGTGGGCAACGGAGTGATTCAAAGACTGCTTCCCGAACTGAAGAACGTGAGTTTCCAGATTAAATAGTCAGGGCGATATTCAAAGTATAGATTGCTATTTTTAAATTAATCTTGTAACCACTTGATTGTTTAAATTATGTGCAGGTGTAATTTTGATAAAGAAAAAAATTAAAATGAAAGGGAAAAAGGGCAGTGGAAATGAGAAGCTGGAAAGAGTAAGCATAAAATTGGCTGCAAAATGATTTTGTTTGCTGCTCAATGCTATTTCTTTTCTCCCATTTCATGTGGAAAATCCCAAATAGAAAGGATACGTGGGCATGTTTTTAAAAAGCAGTGCATCTTTAGGCCCGAACACACACTGACTGATGGGTTCTATACTGGCTTAGAAGTGAGGGTCTTAGTCCCATCACATACGGGTGGGTTCTGGCTTGATGATCATAACTCGCATCAGTGGAAGGACTTAGAGTTCCCGACTGTGGCAGTGATTAGTGCTCTTCACCAAATACTTTCGGCCATCCGCCTCCTGGGAGCCTTACAGAACTGCACTTTCTGGCCTCCTAAGGCTTGAGAGCATGTGGGTAGTGCTGGCCAATGAGCTCCCATCACAGGTGACAGAAGTGACTTCCTGGGCAGAGCGCTTATTGGGGAGGTGAGACCCCTGGAGTTTCTTCCCTCTAGGTACAGATACTGATGACATTCAACATAGCGGCTACTCCATCATCTTGGGTCCCTACTGATCCCTTGCTGATGCTCAATCAACACACAACATACACCATGAGCAAGAAATAAACCTTTATTTCTTAAGCTGCTAAGACTTGAAGGTTGTTCTTGTCTTGCAGCATAACCCAGCTTTCCCTAACAGATGGACCAATAAGATGTTAAAAGTTCACATCACACTTACATGCACATCCTGCTGTCATTCCCAACAGAATTCCACAGACATCATTCAACCTGACGTCTGCCATGTCTGACAAAGGAGCGAAAATCCCTCTCACCTGGATACTCGTGGGGAATAAGTATTCCGGCTGCCACGTCACTCGTGGTGTCAGGCGAGAACTTGTCTGCAATGACCGTGACGGAGCACCGAGGGGCCAGTGTGGATATGCACAGAGCGGTGGACAGTCCCATCACACCTGCCCCCACCACGGCAACCCGGGCTGCATCCATGGGCCTGTGAGGAGAGACGGTGTGAGCTGTAAGCCTCATGTCAGCAATTATTCCACCCAGCACAAAGTCTGGCCCTGAGGGTCCTTTCCTGAGGTCCACAGCCTCTCAGAATAAGACCTTTCCTTTTGGCATTTCCTGTGGGATAAGGAGAGCTCCCTGGGAGCTCTCTTTCTATCAAGTATCGGCATATGAGCAGTAAGGTCTCAATGGAGTTGTTTGTTTTTTTTTGTCTGATGATTTTTTTAAAAGAACTTATTTATTTATTTTTAGAGAGGGAAGGGAGGGAGAAAGAGAGAGAGAGAAACATCAATGTGCGGTTGCTGGGGGCCGTGGCCTGCAACCCAGGTATGTGGCCTGACTGGGAATCGAACCTGCGACATTTTGGTTTGCAGCCCGTGCTCAATCCACTGAGCTACGCCAGCCAGGTCAATGGAGTTTTAGACAGAATTGCAAAACTAGCCTGGAGTTGCCTTTAAAGCACACAGCAGGTAAGTAGGTTTGCATTTTGGGGGAGATTTCCACTCATTCTGCCCCCTTTCCTAAACCATTTTCCCTGTGGGCAAGACCTAGGGGAGGTTAGTGAAATAAGCACAGTAGGAACAAGAAGCAAACATAACAACATTTAACATAAAGTTTAACGACTGAACCTCGGCATCTCCTCTGCCGTTCCCCACTCTAACTGGGGACCAGCTCTCCCAGCTGCCTTTCCTGACTCCATCACTGCTCTCCCACCCCCACAGGGCCACCCTCAGTCCACCTCAACACCAGAAACCCCACCCACTGAGGGCAGGCTTCTCTGTAACCTGGGGAGTGACTCCCGGTCTCCTCATCTGGACTCCCTCCTCTGTAAACCAGGCCACACAAATTCTTTATTAGTCTTTATAGGGGGTAAATAAGAGAGACCCACTGAGGTTGCCTCATGAAGAGGGCTCTTTCTGTGAGTCTGTCTGGAAATGCAGCAGCCTGAGCTGGGCAGGAGCCTCCACAACTCCCACCCCACCACCACTGAGCTCTGTTCCCCTGTCAGCTGCTGTGTCCACCCAGGCTCTCCTGCTTGTCCTCCCACCTCTGTTCCTGTTCTGTCTAACTTTCCCTGTAGGTCTCAGGTTGAAACTCCAGAGAGAGAAAACGTGGTTAGCCCAGGTGGTCCTTGCCATTCCTATCAGACAGTATCCTAGCACCAGGCCTCCTTATTGAGCTAAACCAGCCAGTACAGTTGCCCTTCTCTGTCTGATCTGCAGTAGCCAGGGCATGTGATACAAACCGTGGCCACAAAATTCACCTTTCCTCAGGAGGGGGCGGGGCGTTCCCTCTGCTGGGAGCTGTCAGCAGTCTCCTCCGGCCCGGAAGGTCTCTGACATTTTAAAGTCCTCCAGTGAGGTTTGCTGCATGTTATTTCTATTTCTCAAGCAGTATATGCATTTCCTCGGCCATTAGTTACTCTGACTGCTCCCCAACAGGCTGGCTCACTAGGAAGGAGCAGGACTGCCAGGGCAGAGGGAGAAGGCAGGGCCCAGGACAAGGGGCAGACCAGTGGAGGGGGTGAGCCCGAGGAGTGTGACACACATGTGCCCCAGAGGTAGAAGCTGGCCACCTATCCCCTTACTGGCTTTCCTCTTTCACACTGACCTCCCTGCCCGACCACTTTCTCAACATAGTTCTCATAAATTAAGTTGAGGAGGAAAAGTAATGTGTGGCTGAGCATAACCAGCTACCAGGGAGAAGAAATGTGAACCAGCAAAGGGGGTTCAGCCTGGCCCAGCAGCTGTGAATCACTGCCACCTGATCCCACTGAGACATGCCCACCCTGGGAACTCCTCGAGTGCTACAGCGTGACCCCTGAGCCGCAAGCAGGAAGATTCTGGTACCTGTCTCTGGAAAAGCAGCCTGGAACTCACTGGAAGCTGTGGCACCACCACTTGTTTTCCCAGTGAGAGGTTGGGCTAGTGCCCTGAGAGACAGAGGGAAAGCAAAACTGCCTCCCATTGGGGCAGTTATTAAGGACACTCCCCTTAATCTCCATTGGTCCACACGCCTGTGTCTCTGTCACTTACTTCCCTGGAGAAAGGAGCCACTGACTTCATCTTGTAAATCGTGCCACTGAGGCTCTGCCAAACCCTAGAAGTGGGTCTACCCTTAGCAGCTCTTCTCTGTCTAGTTCACAAAACCTTCATCTCGCCGCCAGCTTGGGATTCCTCCAGCTGATTTGTAGGCACGGTAAATAAGGGGTGAACCTGTCCAACTTCCGGCAAGTTCAGCCAGAAGCAAACCCTGGTTTCCTCGTTTGGCTGCCTCGAGTTAGCTGCAGTCTCCCGTGGGTGCCTGGCTTTGCCAGGTCAGCTGTGCTGGGGGAGGGGAGTGAGGGGTGTGAGGGCAGAATAATGTTGATCGTTTAAATGATAACCTGATTGTAGTTAGAGAAATTATTTAGGGGATAATCTAGGACAAAAACCAAATGATTCTTTAGTCCACATATTTAAATATTTGCTGAGCATGTGGCAGACACTTTACAGTCAACAAGTTTGTTTACAGGGAAGCAGTTTGAAGTATCAAAATAATAATATTGCCTTAGCCATTTGCTAGGCACATGTGTGACACCATTAACACAACCGCCTGTGAGGCAGCTACAACTATTATCCCCATTCTCTAGGTGAGTAAACGGAGGCTCCAAGGGAGTAAGGAAGGGCCCAGGGTCTCTTACATGGCAAAGTCCAGTCTGAATGTCAGATTCCAAGGCTCAAGGTCACCAAAGCACCTACTTAGGAGCCACAGAAGATCTGTTTTACCTTGAGCAAGTCACCTAACTTCTAAATTTCAGTTTCTCCATTTGAAAATTGGGAATGAACTAAGATTTCTCTTATAAGTTGTGAACATCTGCTGAGGTGAGGTATGTAACATTGTTTGTAAGGTGGGAGGTATGCTTTATTGAGCACCTACTATAACATCAATCAGCAAACATTTATAGAGCAGCCACTCTGCCCAAGGCATGTTGCCAGGACTATGAGAGATTCAAGGATTTCTAAAATGGCCTTGTCTCCCTCAAGAAAGAAAACAAGGCAGAATAAGACTATTAGGTAGCCTAATAGTCTTAGGCTATTAGGCTATTAGGTCCCCTAATAGGTTGCATTCTAACTGTAGGCGCTGTGAGGACTCGGGGGAGAGGGAGTGTGGTGGACCTAAGTGGCCAGTCCAGGATGGACAAAGGAGAGGAAAGCAGGAAACACTGGGAGGGGAGGTGGGGGGGCGCCAAGTCTCAGTGGCAGGACGTTCAAAGGGAGCCGAGGCAGGGGTGGGTGTCTGCACGGGGAGGTCTGCGTGAGAGCGGGTGCGGCAGGAGCGCCCTGGGTCTGGCCGGGAGGGAGGACTGCATCTGCAAGGTGACGGCAGTCGCGGAAGATACCTGCGAGGGCTCCTTCTTCTCCCTGCGCAGGCCAGGGCTCTCCTTGCCTCTGAAAGGAAAACGGGGAGGAAACATTTGAAACAAAAGAAAAAAGAAGGCTGTGTGTGTATACCGCTAACAGGCCCTTTGTTTGCTGCTGCACGGAACTACAGCAGCGTGACTCAAACGAGAGCTCGTTCAGAAAGCTGACAGGAAAGCAGACTCAGGCGTCACGGAGCGTGAGAGTTAAAGGGGGCCCCGGGGACCATCTAGTGGGACCTTATGTCATCATTTCACAGGCCAGTGGCTGAGGTCCAAAGTTGAAGTGATCTCCCCGAGACTGCAGGCAGAGCACACCTTCTCACTCCTCCCCAACGCCTTTTCAGAGACTTTTGCCCTGGCTCTGCAGGAGCCCGGAGCCTCACCTGTGCAGTGCACCTGGGCCTCCCTGTGCACCCAGCACCCCGCTGCTCTGCACTGCGCTGCATGGCTGTCAGTGTCTCGGGAAGTGTTGGCCTCACTGCTGTGTCAGTCTGTCAGTCAGTCCACAAAGGGCCTCAGCCAACGGAACCTGAGCTTTTCAGAAGGCTGTCGAGGAAGCGAGGCTCCAGGGATTCAGCTGCGTATATGCTCCAGGACGGTGCAGGGAAAGGCAGAAGGGGTGAGCTCCAGGCGCCCAAGCCTCTGAAGCATGGTGAGCCCTGGCTGAGCACTCGGAAGCTGGGCAGAATCCATAACTGAACACTTTCCCTATAAAGTGAACGTACCTATCGGAACATCCATAAAAATCTCAGAAGTCTGGTCCCTAACTGGGGTAGGTGAGCCGAGGGAGAAGCAGGGAATGAATGAGGGAACGAATTCACTTAGGGAACTGGTAGTTGTCGGTAAATACTGGTACCACGTGGGCTTGAGAGAGAAAACGAGCAGCCCTCCCCGACCTCCGGTGAATTTGGATGAGACGTGAACTCCCACGTGTCCCAGACACTCTGCTGGGAGGAGGGACCAGAGACTCTGGCTTCCACCAGCTTAACAATCTTAAATGAGAAAATAGTCCTCTGTACCGCCTGTAAGAACGCAGTACCCTTTCACACAGGCCATTTTACAGAATGAACTCTTTGTGTGCAGTGTTTTCAGTGAGTATTTGGTAGGGGTGAGAGAAGGGGGACAGATAAGCCCCTCAGCACTGAGCATTCAATTAAGTACATTGAAAGTATATTTTTAATATGAACTATCCTAACTACATACCTTTTAACAGCAGTTCGGAGGGGAGGCGTGCAGATTCGGCTCCCACGGGGTCTGGAGTTGGTCACATTGTAAAAGCCCTCTTTAAGAACGTACACACGCATCGGACAGAGAGGAAAGAACGTCTGTGACCACTCGGACGTCATCCGACAGAGGGGACGTGGGATGGAAGGAAACAGGAGGAAGGACACAGTGGTCTTCACTGGTTGCAGCGACTATATCTTACTTTTGCAAATTCACAAAATTCAGATGGTTCTGGTGATTTTTATGCTTTTCTCACTGGACATTTACTGATACCGAAATACATACACGGGTGTTATGGGCTAAACACTTGTAGGGCTCGATGAGGTGATGAGGACCCTCACGGTGGGACTAGTGCCCTTATAAGAGATAACAGAATGCTCGCTCTCGCTCTCCTCCTTTCCTCCCTCCTGCATGAGCACAGAGAAGTCGTATGAACGAACACACAGTGGGATGGTGGCTGCCTATAAGCCAAGAGGCCTCAGAAAGCAATCTCCCTTGATCTTGGACTTCCAGCCTCTACAACCGTGAGAAATCAATTTCCTATGCTTCAGCCACCCAGTCTGTGGTATTTTGTTATGGCAGCCTAGCAAACTAATACAAAACATAAAACAGAAAGTCAAAAAATACCAAATATTAGCTTAAAAGAAAAATCTAAAGGACAGAAAAACAGGCTGAAGATGAAAAAAGAGACAAAATAAGAGATGAGAGGAAGGTTGTTTTCCTCTCTTGTTTTATGGTCCTGTGTGTTTTTTTCCTTTGCCTTACAAAAGGGAAGGGTGTTTGGTTTCATATCTTATTGTACAAGTGGAAAGACCAACTGAGCAACTATCCAAGGAACTGAATTAATATAAAAAGTCTAAAGAATTCAGGTCAAATCCCTCTCGCCTTTTCTCCCCAAACAGTGATTGTTAAACGGCATCTTCTCTACCTAATTGTCTTCGTCCTTTTCCTGCCTCTCTGCAGACGACACTGACACTTCACTGATTCTAATATGCTGGACATAGGCATATCCAACAGCTAAGTTTCAAGAGCAAAGAAAAATATAATAAACTTCTAAAGAAACCATAGTAAAGAAAAACCCAAAACCTATGGTAAATTTATCTGACATATACTCCTCTAACAGAGATTAGGCCATAATTTTGCAGTTGAAATGTTTAGGATATTAAACTGTTTGGGGAAAATATGGTTTTAAATAAGGCAAGAGAACAAAATTTAATGCTTAAAAAAAAGAGTAAAAAGCTTCCTGTATAATAAGTGTAGATTTTCTTTAGAAGGCAAGAATATTTAAATTTCTTTTTATACCAGCAACAGATCCTCATGATGCTTAAAGTCAATTTCCAGGATGATCTGCAGACTTTAAAAATTGACAGTGTTCTAAAAAGCCACAGCGTCTCTGTCCCGTGAAGAAGACCTGCAGAGAGAATTTCGTAAATTCGGAGAAAGTAAAAATGTCCCACTAGGATGCTCTCTCCCAGCCTCCAGCAGATGCATATCTCTTACCTGGACCAAACATGAAAACATTTTGCCCTGGCTAGAGTTGCTCAGTGGATTGAGTGCTGGCCTGAGAACCAAAGGGTTGCTAGTTGATTCCCAGTCAGGGCTCATGCCTGGGTTGTGAGTTGGGTCCCGGGTGGGAGGTGTGAGAGAGGCAACCAATACATTGATGTTTCTCTCCCTCTCTTTCTCCCTCCCTTCCCCTCTCTCTAAAAATGAGTAAAATCTAAAAACAAGAAAACAAAAAAAAGTTTTGGCTACACATTCAAGCCCTCTTCACTCTTTACTGGAAAGCAAGGCATATATATATATATATATATATATATATATGCTAAACTATAAACATTTTTGACAGGGAATTACTAAAAAGACTTGAATTTAGAGTTATGGTTCTCATAACAAGGGAAGGAAAATCAGAAATAGAATCTTCAAGGGGCTTTGGCAAAAGAAACACACTTTCAGATCCAGTTAAGACGGCAGAACAGAAGATGCTGTGCTCACCGCCTCCCATGACCACAGCAAAATCACAGCTAAATAACGGAAAATGCACCTGGAGAACCATCTGAGGACTAGTTGAACAGAAGTCCTATAATAAGGCCATGAAGAAGCAGCCATATTGAGACCGGCGGGCGAGGCAGAGTTGCAAAACGGGCTGCCCCTCACTCACACGTGGTGGTTGACAACCCTAAGGTGGTTAAAAACCCTAAGGTGGTTGAGAATCATGCCTGCATTGTTAATTAATATTTTACAAAGGAGGTAGGAAAATACAACAGGATAAAGACAGTCTATTCAACAATAGGTGTTGGGAAAATTGAACAGATACATGCTAAAAAGTAAACTAGACAAGTACAAGAGTAAACTCAAAATGAATTAAAGACTTGAAGGTAAAATTCAAAACCACAAAACTAGAAGGAAACACAGGCAGTAAGCTCTCTGACATCATTCTTAGTAATATTTCTTTTGATATCTCTCCTCAGGTGAGGGAAACAAAAGAGAAAAATAAACAAACAGGACTTCCTCAAACTAAAAAGTGTTGGCCCAAGCAAAGAAAACCATAAACAAAACAAAAAGACAACCTCCTGAATGGGAGAAGGTATTTGCCATGATACATCAGATAGAGGGTTACTATCCAAAATTTATAAAGAATTCATACAATTTAACACCAAAAAACCACACACAATCCAATCACAAAATGGGTAAAGGACCTGAATAGACCCTTGTCCAAAGAGACATACAGGTGGTCAGCACACATGTGAAATGATGCTCCACTAATCATCAGAGAGATGCAAATTAAAACCACAATGAGATATCACCTCACACCTATCAGAATGGCCATCATCAACAAATCAGCAAACAAGTGTTGGTGAGGACATGGAGAAAGGGGAACCATGTGGCACTGTTGGTGGGACTGCAAATTAGAGTAGCCACTGTGGAAAGCAGTAGGGAGATTCCTCAAAAAATTAAAAATAGAACTAACTACCTTATGACTCAGCAATTCCACTTCTGAGTCTATATCCAAAGAAACCCAAAATACTAGTTTGAAAAGATATACGCATCCCTATGTTCATTGTATCATTATTTACAAAGCCAAGATATGGAAGCAACCAAAGTGCTCACCAATAGACAACTGGGTAAGATGATGTGGTATATATGGGCAATGGAATATTACTCGGCCATAAAAAGGAATACAATCTTACCATTTGCGATAACATAGATGTGCCTAGAAGGTATTATGCTAAGTAAAATAAACAAGACAAAGACAAAAAATGTCACTTACATGTGGAATGTAAGGAACAAAATAAATGGGCAAATAAAACAGGAAGACTCATGGATACAGAGAATAAACTGCGGGTTGCCAGACGGGAAGGAGGTTGGGGAGCTGGATGAGAAAGGCGAAGGGATTGAGATGTACAAACGGATAGTCACAATGTGGTCACAGGGATGTAGAGTGCAGCACAGGGAATGTAGTCAATAATATTGTAACAGTTGTGTATGGTATCAGGTGGGTAGTCGAATAATCAGGGGAAACACTTCGTAAATTATATAAATATCTAACCATTATGCTGTAACCTTAAACTGATATAGAATAATGCTAAATGTCAACTGCAATTGAAAAAGAAAAGAAAAGAGAAACGCACTCTCACGTGCACCCTCTGCCCAGGCGCCAGTCCCTGGGGGAGGAAGGGCCCTGGCACTGACCCGAGTGGGGGCATCCCCTCTGGTGGTGAGGGGGGAGGGCTGAGAAACAGTGACACAGAAGAACAAGTGTGAAAAAACATTTCATGGCAATAAGAAAGCAGTCTAAAAAATGAGCATTCTCATCTCAGCTTTTATTTCTTTTACAAAACAACTTTTAAAACTTTCTTACAAAAAAATTTAAAAGACATAAAAATGACATGCAGGATTTGAGAATAATATTTCTCTAACACAAAGGCATTAAATAAACAATATTTCAGGTGCTAGAGAATACATGCAGCACATTTGTTCACCGGGACCAGAATCCCCTGAATTAACCTCTTCTGTTTTTGTCCGGCACCAGGATGGTTCGTGGTGGGAAATAATTCACCTCGACTGCTGTTTCTTTTCTGCATCCAGTTTCATGGCCTCCTCCCAAGTCGTTGCCAGAGGCTGCCCGAGGGTTTCTGGAAGCTTTAGTGTTAGGATTCCACTCACTAAGGCCAAAATCCCAACGAGCAGCTGGAAGGAATTTTAAAAAATAGTAAGTGATACATCAAGAAATAAATGTCCTTGTCAGAGAATGATAATTCTGAACCTTTCTCGAAAGAAATAGAATTGAATTTGACATATGGACATTTTTATTCTGTGGTGAGACCTTTAGTTACTTAGGCTGGCCTGGGAATTCTTTAACTCATGGTCTGTGCTTAATCTGGTCACTCACTAATTCATTCATTAACCACTGTGGAGCACCTACTCAATGAATCCCAGGCACTGCCTGCATTGTCACTCTTGCAGGCACTGTCCTAGGAGCTGCTACACAGAGGGAAAAAAAGGCCCGTCCCATTTTCCCACACTCCATTCATTGTGTTGTGGAGAAACACAGCAAGTGAGCCTTGGTTGGGACTGCCTGGTCAGTGACTATCATAACCAACCCTGTCCCTCGGGCCCCAGGAACCAGCATGCATCGGCACTCACTGACGGCGGGGAGTGGATGAATGCAGACATGTCTGCACGAATGCACGTCTCAGGGAGCCGCAACCGACGGGACTGAAGGGGAAACAAAACAAGAGCAAGGGAAACTAACTGCTACTTTGGAGAGGGGGTCCATCTGATTTCCTATTTATAAAAATCAATTATGTCTTTACTTCCCAAATTTTGACACATAAAAGGCAACCCTTGAGAACAGCACCAGGTTTTGTCTTTAAAATGCAAATCACATTAAAAATTAAAGTATACGTATCTGTTCTATGTTGATCATTATGAAGATGTCGGGTGCATTTCAGAACTAAATCTTTATACAGTCTGTAAGAATGTGTTCCATCCTTACATAATTTGAATTCTTGTAGCAAAAAAATACTGCCTGGGAAGAGCCCAAAAAAGTAACCCAAGACATGGTTTTTCTGATAAATCTGCACCCTTGGGGCTTGCACAGCCTCTGAGAGTGAGAAGGATGAAACAGACAGGCCACTCACTCTGACGTGAAGGTACGTCAGTGACAGATGTGACCTGGGAGGTCAGCTCTTTATGTTGTTCTGCAGAATGCTGATGATCTAATTCTCAGAAATACCTGAATAAGCCTAGAAGCAGCAGTGGTGACATTCCAAAGGATGTGGGAAAGAACTTCCTGGTGCCTCAGACACAGAAGACACAGACACTGATGTCTGAACCCCGAAGAGCCCTGTGTCAAGGTCTGAAAACCACTGAATAAATCTAAACAAGAAACGGAATCAAATGGAAAATCCAAGACAGAACTGGATTTATTTTTTTTCAGCTCGGTAGTAACAACAATAGGCAATAAACAAATCCGTAGCCCTGCACTCTCCCCTCTCACTCCAGGCAGGAGGCCTGGTCTCCGACAGCCCCGGCCAGCTCCTTCCACCCCACAAACACTCCTACAACATCCCCTCCCCTCCTCTCCCTCCTTCCTACCCCCCTACCAGGAGGGGCCTTCCATCCTCTCCAGATCCCACTGCCTCCCCCTTCCCCTCCCTCCCTCTCCCTCCCTCTCCCTCCCCTCCCCCTTCCAACTCTTCTTTCCCCCCCCACTTCCACTCCCCTCTTCGCCTCCTCTTTCCCCCTCCCCCTCCCCCTCCCCCTCCAATTTTCCTCCATCAGCAGCAACCCCTCCCCGCCCCCACACACACATATTTTTTACCTTTTTCTTGACACTGGCTAGTAAAAATAAAAGTTCTCAAGCCTCTTATAATCTCCAAGCCCACTCTGCCCAGTAACTCACTACCTGTGTAGCCTTGAGTAAGTTACTTTTCTGCTCCTCAATTTCCTTATCTGTACAATGTAAATAATGGTAGCCATCCCAAAAGACTGTTGAAAGGATTAAACGACACCTACAAGGTACATAAAACTGCATCTGGCCCATAGTAACTGGTCAATAAATGTTATCTTTTAGAAGAACCAAAAGAGGCCCTCTGCCTGGCCCACCACCACTGCTCCCCTCTCTCAGCCCTCCCAGCCTGGCCCACGCCCCCCACCCGAGGAGCTTGCTCTTCCCAGGCCCCTGGGATGTGTTCCTGTACTGCTCTTTCTTAGCCACTGTCCTCTCCTGCCTTCCTCCCCTCCCCTCCTCCTCTGGGGTGCTCACCTCCCTGGCTGCTGTGCCTCAGTCTCTGACCTGGACTCTTCCTCCATCACACCTTAACCACTCCCCAGGCTCTGCCCTTCAGTCTTCCTCACTCCTTCCTCCCCTTCCTATGAGCTGACTCCCACACCTGTACTCCAGTGGGGGCTGTCCCCTGCCCTGCAGGCACCTCACACTCATTGCATATGGTCCTTCCCCACCTCAGCCCAGCCCTGCTCCACAGTTCCCTCCAACCCCAAGAACTGCTCTTACATCCCTCCAGTTCCCCCTCCACCACACCCAACAGGTCATCAGGTCCTGTGGGTGCGACTTTTCCATCCTATCCTCTCAAACCCACCTTTGGTCCAAATGCTCTTCCTTTCTGACGTCCCCTGAGACCCCTGTCCATCTCTCTAGACTTACAGTACCTCCCACAACCCACCCTGGGTGTGAGCAATAATACTTGCATCCAGATCCAGACTGGCCAGGTTCCTTTTCCCTCTAAGCCTTCGCCTCTCTGGTCCCTCTGTCTAGAGTTCCCTTCCCCACCAGGCTGATTCTTACCGGCTCCTCCAGGAAGCCTCCCCTCTGGGCCTAGCCCGGGCCAGCATTTCCCCACTCCAGCCTTCATTTCTGAGGCTTGTGACAGTTCGCTCTTCTGCCTTCCCCACCAGACTCTGGGGACAGAGGCTGTTCCTCTCATGTCTGCCCCTTAGCACCTAACAGAGAGGTTAGTTCAAAATCAACACTTACTAAATCTTTGCCAAGTGCATGGATGAATAAAAAAATGGTATGAATTAGGTGTCCACTTTTCTTTAGATTACTGGCAAATAATGGTTGATAATAAAAGCATCAGAACGAGTGATTTCCATGTGCTCCCTTTCGAAAGGGAAAACGTACACGTATCTGCTAGATCAGCATTTCCATTCCTCAAAATGCAAGCGCTGGCTCCCAGGCAGCGTGGCAGCCATAAATAAGCTTAATGAGAAACTGAATAATCTACTTTACCCATTAAAAAACAAGCAACATCTGTTGTCTCCAAGGGAAGCACATTCACAGAATATTTCCGTGAACATACACAAGGCCCTGCTGACAGAGGCTGTCTAGGGAAAGGGGGACGGGGCGGTCAGGGTCAGGGTGGAGGAGGAGACTAGTTCTCTGCAATCCCTTCTGTACTGTTTGTTGGTTTAACAGGGTAAAAGGTGTGGTATTTGGGTTTGAATCCAACACTGTACCTTAAAGGTGAGTGACCTTTGGCTGATAATGACTTTCTGCACATCAGTCTCTCCACCTATAAAATGGGGACAGCAATAAGCAGTATCTGCAGTCTATGAAGACCAAGTTCTGTAAAGCACTTAAAGAGCGTGCCCCATACCAAGCACCATTTAAGTACCTGTTACATAAAATTAAAAATCCATTTTAACTAGTCCTTAATTGACCCTTCTAGGAGTCCTTTAAAAAAATCTTTATTTGGTTTTAGTAAATTTATAGCAGTTTGCTTTGAGAGATTTAACTATCTTCTGTGTGTTTCAGCTTATCGTTTTAAAAAACCTCTCCCGTTTTTATATTTTATTTATTTAATGAGGACTATCAAGGGCTGGCACAAAGGAGATGCTCCTAGAAAGGTCGATGCCCTAACACGGCCCCCTCCGTGCAGATCAGACAGCCCGAGTCATTTCACCGCCCCGCAGTCAGCGGGTCACAGGGTCACAGAGGCCGGCGCCCCCACACGAGCCGAGCAAACGTGCTGCGTGCCGCTCTGGGGCGGGAGGGAGGAGCCCGGGCCAGGCCAGCAATTCCCGAAGCACAGATGGACACCCACGGACGTGTGCAAGGCGACTTTAGGCAGGATCACACACTTCGTCTCACTACTTGTGAGATTCTGTTAATGTGTTTTAGAAAAACACATAACTAGTATAAACACCCATGAGTTCACTGTTACTGTTTTAAAAGTCAGTCTATTTAAATAGTAAGTACATTAAAACACGAGTGGCACACAAGGTGAGGAAACGCTTTGCCGGACCCAGTGGTGGGGGTACAAAAGGTCCCATCCTGAAAGAGCCCAACAGTTTAACCTGGAGGGGTGGGGGGGCACCAAGACACACGTGCGAATAATAAAGGCACTGGGCGGTGAAAGGGACCCACAGGGAGTGCCACGCAGACACAGGAGAGGGGCAGTACTGAGATCCCAATGGCCTTCCTGGAGAGGCGGGTCTTCTGTGCGTCCTCAAAGACACCCGGGGGCTGCCTCCTGCAAACGCCCACACTGCTTGGCCCCCCAGCAGTCCTCCGCGGAGGCTGTGTGGGAGGGCGAACCGGGGAACCCGCTCCGGGACAGCCTCACCCGCAAGTTTCTGGCGAGGCAGCGGCTGTCCGGGAAGCCTGGGAGGACCCTGTGAGAGGGACTGTGTCATGCCAACAGCCCCGGACCTCACGGAAGTACCGAGAGACCCACTGCCCTGACTCGTCTTATGGGCCTGGTGGCCCCTCCAGGCTCTGTCCCAGGTGGGCTTCACGCTCCTGAGATGTATGAGGCCTGACAGTTCTTGCATTTACCTCTTAAAAAGGAAAAGTCGATGTCTGTCTATCTATATATCATTATAAAATATGATTTAAGTATTAAAAGGGCATCCAACAAATGCAGTTTAAGAAGTAATTATGAAGCAAGTGCATCGCACTCTGAATCGCCCACAACAATACCGTGCCTGCATCCCAGAAGCCTCTGCTTCCCACCTCTACAAGGTCCCGGTCTAGTCACTGAGCCTCATCTGTTTTCCTGCTTTTAATATCTCTGATATCCCTTTCATGGCTACCTCGTGTCCCTGCAAAACTGTTCCCATTCTCTTAAAGAGAAAGAAGAAAAAAGAAAGAAAGAGGAAGGAAGGAAGGAAGGAAGGAAGGAAGGAAGGAAGGAAGGAAGGAAGGAAGGAAGGAAGGAAGGAAGGAAGGAAGGAAGGAAGGAAGGAAGGAAGGAAGGAAGGAAGGAAGGAAGGAAGGAAGGAAGGAAGGAAGGGAAAAAGAAAAGAAAAAAGAAAAGAAAAAGAAAAAGAAAAGAAAAGGAAAAAAAAAGAAAAAGAAAAGAAAAGAAAAAAGAAAAGAAAGCCCTGGCTGGTGTAGCTCAGTGGATTGAGCACGGGCTGCGAACCAAAGTGTCCCAGGTTCGATTCCCAGCCAGTGTACATCCCTGGGTTGCAGGACATAACCCCCAGCAACCGCACATTGATGTTTCTCTCTCTCTCGCTCTCTCTCTCTCTCTCTCTCTCTCATCTCCCTCCCTTCCCTCTCTAAAAAACAAAAATAATAATAATAAAATAAATAAAATCTTAAAAAAAAAAGAAAAGAGAAAGAAAGAGAGAGAGAAAGAAGTTAGTTTGGCAAGATGGGAGAGAAGCCCTCTACAGAGGTGTTTAGGAGGAGAGTGGGCTGGGGGGAATGTGCAGGGGAGGGGAGGTGGGTGAGGAACCAAAACAGACTAGGTTAGATGGGCCAGGATTTCCATCTGGAAAGGACTTGAATCAAGCAGAGTCTGGATTTTACTCTGAAGATGAGGGGGCAATTGGAGCAGAGCTGTGGTTGAACAAACTACTCTGGGGTAGGGGCTGGATCACAGGGAAAACACTTGGGAGGTGGAAGTTGATGCGCAACTGAATCAGAGGCAGCCATCTGGGTTGGTTTTGAGAGAGAAGAGCAGGATCTACTGTCGTGGGTTGGGAAGAGAAGGGGTAAAAACCAGGGCAAATGAAAAGCTGATGCTAACGTGTTGTGCTGCAGGCCACTGGCTCCTAATCCAAAGTGGGAGAGGGAGGAGGAAATTTAGGACACCAGCCACTTCGGTTTGGGAAGCAGTTAGTTTGCTGTAAAACATTCAGGGAGAATAATCCATGAGCCTGGTGGAAACATGGGTTTGTAGCTGGCAAGAGAAGTCAGAATTTAGGAAAGGTGACCCACCCAGAGACTGGGAAAGACTGCTGGGGGCGGGGGGTGGGGAGGAGGGTGCTCTTATTTAAGAGCAATCAGAAAAAGAAAGAGGAGCACTGAAAGAGGCCAAGAAGGAACAGCCTAGAGAAGCTACAGCACAGTTCAAGTTTGAGAGGCACCTTGGGAGAGGAGGGGACAGCAGACCCAGGGCTCTCCTCTAAGTCACTGTGGCACCTTGGGCCACCCCTCACCCCACACTCTTGTCCCTTCCCTATGTAAGAGGGTGCAGCCAGGGGCCGCCAAAAGAAGGATTTGTAATGGGGTCCAGAACTCAGGGTGTCCAGGAAATATTACAAAGATGAGATGTCCTCACCCCCACAAGTCTGAGCTGGGGATGGGACCCAGGGAGCAGGGCCATTGAGAATTGTTTTGAATAGCAACAGCTTTGCAGATAACCCCTAGAGTGGTCATTTAACACATCTATAACCTTTAACTGGTTTCATAGGTATGTTAAATAGCTTTGGCCATGCTCTGAGCCAAGGAGAAGGGAGTGGCTTCCACCCAAGATGTTATTGGGAGGCAACTTCCTCTAGTTACAGCACCTGCGTGAGAGCTTGGAGATGATTGGCTCCACACTACAGGGCCACACCTGCCCAGACTTACTATGGAAGCCCAGAAAAGCTGGAAAACACAGGAGTGCTGGCAGGTGTAGCTGATTGTGGGAGGAGTCGGAAATGGGGTTGCAGAGGAAGATCAGCGCTGGGATTTAAACCCAGGTGCGGCAGCCATGATGAGAATCACCACTCGGCTTTGGTAGGGGAGAACCACGCGACTTTGGGTCTCCCTTTGCCACACAGCTTAGGAAGCTGGAAAGCAAGATGTAGCAACGATAGCAGAAATCTCCCTTAGCAGATTGGAAAAATGCAGGAGAGACACTGCAGGAAGGAAAGGGGTGAAAGGACTCTTGCTGGTGGGCCATGAGAAGGTGCCATGTGGTTTTGAAATAAGAACTGGAGATCCTGGAGACACACCTGATGGTGCTGGGAACTGAGGGAGGCCTACCATCCGAGCACAGATTACTGGGAAGAACCGGGGGCAGCCTGAGCCACAGACTTCTATTTCTTTCCCTGAGATACGATACCCCAGACCAGGCAACAGGGGGAAGTAAGGACTGTGTGTGTTTGTGGGTGTTTTAAGGGACTTTGGGATTTTGACGAAGACATTAAGTCATTGCTTTTAAGTCTGTATAACTTGAATAAATAATTCCTTTCCTTTTCACCAATCTCTAACATGGAGAGCTATAATTCTCTGGCGACAGGCAAAGTGAACCTAGTACAGGGGGACCCCAGGAGAAAGGGGGTCCATTCGGTAACATTGTGGGACCCCCCTTCTCTGGTGGCTAATCAGGGAAAATCATGGGAGACACATGTGTAGTAGCTTTAAAGTAATACAACTACTTGCACATGAGCAGTAAAAGCCCACCAAAACTAGCCAGGAAGGATCCACCCTATAAGAATAGAGTCCCTCCAGCCCGTGAGGTCAATCTCTGCTTGGAGTTGGCCTGCTCCCATGTTCTCTGCTATAAACTCTGGGTGTTCAGTTCAATTCTTTGTCCCAATCACCAAGAACCTGGTTACCTGTGCCCACCTGTGACACCTACTCCACCCATTCCTCAACTCTCCCATCTTCCTCCTGACCAGGGGGTCTGAGGAAACCAAGAACAGCGTTCCCCAGGACTTCCCAACCTCTCAGCACCCACCTGAGGAAATCTACAAACACAGCATAACTGCTTTCACTCCTCATAACCACACAAAAAGCTTATACCACCAGAGCCAGAAGGAAAAGGTGTTTTATATCTGAACGCCACAAATAGCTAAACCTCTTCATCAGGCACCACAGAGTCCTCCGGGGAACAGGCAGCTTCCAGAATTCTCCTTGACCAGGAGGCATGCGGTGGGAAAGCAGGGGCAAGGGGCTGGAGGTGATGACAGCCTGGGCATCCAGATGGAGGACCACAGGCTGGGCTGGGCAGGCGACAGAGGCAGAGGCACTCAGAGACCAGAGACCAGAGCTCTCCCTGGGTGGTCCCAGCTTCATGCCCTGGGTCAGTAGTATTCAGCTCACTGGTGGATGGAAGGCAATTGGCCAACAAGAAAACAGCAGTTACCACCCTACTTACCACGTGGTGAGCTGTTAATAAGGTTTCTATAGACCCCTATCATTGAATGACAAATTAGCCTCCCATAAATAAAAATACAGAAGGCAATTAGCTGGTCTGCCTTTCTGCTCTCTCAGTAAAGTTCTACAAGCCAATTAAATACCTGAGGCATGAAGGTCCAAATGCCGGAGAGGTAAAGGGAGAACGGAGCGATGATGCTTCCTGCACGGGACACCATGCTGCCACTTCCTATGGCCTGCGTCCTGAAAAGAAGACGGGAATTAACGCAGGTGGCAGCAGGAGTAGAAGACGAGAGGAGCACGGATGACACAGACTGAGGGACACAGACTGAGGGACTGACTTCCGGGAACCCTGGTCCACTCTCCAGCAGAGAACAAATGAGAAAACTTAAGCTTGGATTAATATACTTGGAAATAATTCTACTTTAATTTTTCAAGTGTCACTTGTGATTTAGATCCACATTCTCCAAAACAGTGGTATATACAAGCATGAAGATAATTCAGGACATAAAAGGGTAAAATAAACCATTCTCTGTCTGGTATGCAGATGAGGCCCTCACGTATATTCATCCAGTCTATTATTGAGGATAACATCAATCTTCTAGAACATGAATTTGTTTGGGGTAGGGAATGGGAGTTTGAGAGAACAAAAGATTTATATCTATGGAACATTTTATTTTTTAAAAATCAAGCAATATCTCAATGTGCTTTTTGTTAAAAGGTATTTAAAGAAACCTTATAACATGTCTAGCAGGAAGAAAAGAATGTGCTTTTAATGTGAGCAGATATATCTTCTTAAGCCAAGGAGAGAGATTCCAGGAGAAACCAAACCTGCCAAGCACCTTGATCTTGGACTTCCAGTCTCCAGAACTGTGAGAAAACAAATTTTCCTCCTTTCTTTGAGTCTCCCGGCTTTGGTGGTTTGTTACAGCAGCTCTAACAAACTCATACAACATCAGAACATCAAGACACACATCTTCAGAAAATTAGCCTGAGCCATATGGACAGTTGATGTAAGTCAATTAGATTCAAGATTTAAAATGGTTTTAGGATACTTGAGTGTTATTTCTTTACTATCCTTGCCAATGAGGTACAGACAAAGCCTCAGATTCAGAATTAGCATCTTGTAACTTCCTCCTAGCTCGGAGCTCCAGGAGCATCTATGAAAATAAAGCACTTATACACAAAGGCCAAACATAACGAAATGACACGTAAGTGAAATCTAATAGAAAAACAACAGAAAAATAAGTTACTCTTACCGTATCATGGTTGGATACAGCTCTGCTGTGTAAAGGTAAATGAGGCCAAACACGGATCCTATGGCAAATTTTCCAACCATAGAGGTCAACATAACCCAATGATAAAAAATCTGAAATAAACATATTAGCAAAATAGACCATCATAAGTAATATTGTAAAGAAAAATATGAAATCTTTAAAATAATTTTAAGACTATTTACTTTTAGAGAAGGGAAGGGAGGGAGGAAGGGAAGGAAACATCACTGTGTGGTTGCCTCTCACATGCCCCCTACTGGGGACCTGGCCCCCAACCCAGGCATGTGCCCTGACTGGGAATTGAACCAATGACCCTTCGGTTCTCAGGCCGGTGCTCAATCCACTGAGCCACACCAGCCAGAGCTAAAATTATTAATTAAAACTTTCTAGTCCTCTAGTATTTTCAAGAACAATGAAGAGTTTTATTTTTCTGTTTGAATTTATTTTGTAAACTCTACTCATGGTCTGCAAAAGCTTTTCAATTTACAGGAAAGTTTTTACTGTGCCTGCCCCCAGCCTTGAAGATTTCAAATTACCAAATAAGAAAAAAAAATCTCTTGGGACGACTGCTTTGGAATGAGATACATCCAAACACGCTGGTTCCAACAATGGCACTGAGCCAGCAGAATAAATCAAAGAGCCATAAAAACAAAATTGCACCCTTTGCAGCAGTAATCCCATGGCTTATAAATTAACTCCAGAAAATAATTTGCACGTGATAACTGAACTATTAGTACAGACTCTCCACCCCACCCCCCCTTTAGCGGATGTATTCCTCAACAGCAAACCGCTCAGTGGGAGCCTCCTGCATACTCTCCGCTTTCCCTATGGCACCTCACTTCCATCAGCAGCTCACAAAATCCTCCTGTGCTCCATCTCTTCTCTTCCCCCCTAGCAGCCAGATGCACGTTGAAACCCAGGTGACCCTGGAGTTCATGTGATGAGGATGGCAGCACCTCTGTCAACCCGAGTCCCTGAGTGACTTCATGGAGCTAACACCCTCCCCTCACCACTCCCACTGGCATCAACTACACACACACACACACACACACACACACACACACACGTCAGGCTTTCTGTGAGCAAGAAACAACACCTGTTATGTGAGGTCACGGAGATTTGGGAACGCCTCTAGTAAAGCAGCCAGTGTCACCCTGTCACCTTAATTACTGTAGACACTACTGATTGAATCAATTAACATGACTTAAAAAATGTGTATTGTATTAGCCCTACCATTTGAAGAGAAATTTTATTAGGGGGGAGGAATTTGTGCTTAGGGGATGGTGCTCTATTGCAAATACCCCATCGGCCACTTTCCCATTACCACTGTGGCTCGACCACTGTGGATCCTGAAGGGCCTGGGGTTCCCCTAAATCTTCACCAACTCAAAGTCACCTGCCATCAGCTCAACTACTATCACTGCAAACTACTTTAAAACACAGACAAAAACAGATGAAGCTCCCTCGAATTGGCAAAGACCTCCTTGTTCTAAGCAATTTTATTGCATTCATATCAGCTATGTATCAATGACCTGGAAATTTCAGTTACATAAAACACCTGATTCACCAACCCTGATAATTAAGTGGAGTATCAATCTAAAAACACTGGTTAGCTTAAATTCAATGTCAAACAACACACAAAACTTAAAGCACCTTGTCTTGCATGTTAAGATACTATCACTGGAGAAAATTACATAAAGTATTTAAAAATGTTGTTATAGTGACATATTTTTCAAATAGGGAATGAAAATACAGGTTCTGATAACATTTTGCGGGGGAAGGGGGAGCACTTCTGGATGCAAGAGGTATTCTGGGGGATGAGGTTTGCCAAAATAGGGGGACATGAAAGTCCTTTCAGTGATTTAAGGCAGTGCTTCTCACCAAGAAGCTGCATTTTTAAAAGCAGGTGCCTCAGGGAGAACAGTAGAGATTGGCAACTGCTAATCTAGCACAATCGAAAACAAGACTACTTAGGTAGAAACAATCCTGGATATAAGACATCATATCCCTCGGATGTCTCCATGGCTCCCTCTGTCTCCCGGGTTTCTGATCAAATGGCACCTTCTCTGAGAGGCACACCACCCTTGGTCACCCTAGAGGAAATTAAATAGCACACGGGTGTGCTCCCCGCCATACACAGTCATTCTCCACTCCTCCTCCTGCTTTTTCTTTGTTATACTGCAGAAACTTGATTCACGGTGTGCCTTCAGCACCTAGAACAACACCTGGCACGTAATAAATGCTGGATAGATCTTTGCTGAATGAATAAATGTTTGTGGTGATGATCGCTGGGAGGTATCTGCTCTCCTCACTCAACATGACTGCGCTTAACATCGCTGGCCAACTCTGGGAAGTGGGATAAAGGGCATTTTAAAATACATTTCTTTTTTCCTTAAATGTTCAACAAGGAGCATGTTCTACATAACAGAGACAGAATAGGTTTATAAAGAAAATATATTGTTAAATATTATATATGTACTCTGTCCATATATCTAAATTGATCTTCATACTTACCGTAATAAGCTAAAAGTTCTCCCCAAATTGTCACAGTATAACGAATCATCCCCTAAATAAAACGTGAAAGAACTCACCCTGGGGATTAGCATGAACAGGCCACAGGAAACTGCACAGGAGAGGAGGGAGAAGGTCAGAATAGCTCTTCTGCCCAGGGTGTCCATCCCCAAGCACACGAAGATGTAGGCAGGGATTTCCACAGCACCTGTCATGGAGCAAAGGGCCCTCTGTGAACCATGGTGTCCAGCCATAAGAGGTGACCCCGCCTGCCTCATTGCCCATCCCCCACAAGGAAGATCAGCAGTGTCTCGGCTTCCAGGGGCCTCTCAGAACCATCAACTGCCCCAGAGGCAACCAGCCCCAGCACTTTTAAACTCCTGAGAGAGTGTTTCCTGTGAAATGCACTAACACTAACTTACTCCGCCCAGCACTGACCACCTGTCCTACAAATCTTGGCCCCTACTGATCTGTAAGCTCCTGAGGACACAGCAGGCTGCCTGGAGGACAGGTCTGCTAAACGAATAAATAAGTAGAATTAATAGACAATACTGATAACTTCTGATCTTCTTTTTCTAAGTGTTTATTTCTTTTAATGCCGATGATTGCATGCATACTTTTAAAATTTAAATTATGGTTTATTGTTTATGTCATTACAGTTGTCCCAGTTTTTCTTTTTATGCTTGACAGAACTAGGGAGAAATTTTTGTAGCAGCAACTTCAAACTTAGAAACTAAAGTAGAAAATCCAGTGTCAGCTAAGTTCACAAAATAATGATAACTGTTTGATGGATTTTAAACCTAAAAGTTAACATTTTTAATCTAATATGAATTTAATCTAATAGGAATATGAACAGGGGCTTTGTTTTGGACTTCTTTGTACTCCCCCACAACGAAAATTAAAGAGCTGAATCCATAAATGACATAAAAGTCCTTCCCTTGAAGAACCAAAGCTTGACTCATAGTGCCAGCACAAAAAAAGCTTTATCATCCATCAGCCAGAACCAAACAGGTGGCAAGCAAGTTCTCTCAGCAAAACTGAGTCAACCCAACAATCTCCTTTGGGAAAGGAGCCAGCCCAGATCTTTCTTTTAGTTCAAAGCTCTCTTCTCTCCTCCCTCCACAGCTCATCTCCTCCCAGGGCACTGCCCGGCACTGCCCGGCACTGCCCGGCATGCCCTCAGAGCTGTGCGCACTTGTGCGTTCATCAGCAGCAGCTGACGAGCACCTGGAGAGGCGGGGCTGGGTCTACATGTCCCCCACAGGTTCTGGAACACATCACAGCAGGTGGGCACATGTTTTCTGAGTGAACATTCTCAGTGGTACATCTGAAATTAAGTTCAGTTGAAGCTGCTCAGATAAGAAAAACGGCTCAGACAAAAACAAAATAATGATAACAACAACAACATTCTGAGCCTTATTTGAGAGACGGTCTCTCTGTCTCTCATTAATGTGAAAAATAAACAGCTTTGGAGGCAACGCCTCCCTTTCATGGACACTGCTGTCGGGTTCATGTTTCAGGTTAGAGCGGCAGGGACATCCACACCTATATTCTGAGGGTTTTGTTTTTTTTTTAAGAGTTCATCAAGCACTTTTCAAGATCAAATAAGACAGTGGGCTTCAAAAGAGCCTCATGGGAGCCCTGGCTGGGTGGCTCCGTTGGTTGGAGCATGGTTCCACGCACCAAAAGGCCCCAGGTTGGATTCCCAGTCAGGGCGCATGCCCAGCTTGTAGGTACAATCCCCAGTCAGGGAGCACACAAGCTATGAGAAGGCAACCAATCAATGTTTCTCTCTCACAATGATGTTTCTCTCTCTCTTTCTTTCATAATTAATAAACACATCTTCAGATAAGGATAAAAAAAGAGCCTCATGGGAGTAAGCCTGGATTATTATCCCCACTTAACAACTACGAGTAAATGATTTAAACCAAACAGCAAGTAACATCTCAGGGATGGGAAGCGAGGTCTCGGTGAGCCAAAGCCCCTGCCCTTTCCTCCCCCATGGCCTCCCTTCATGTGGGACTCAGAGCTCTCCCCTGCATCGGACCATGTGCAAAGCCACCAGACAACGTCCTGGAGTCTAGCAAAGCTGGGCAGCAACTGTGAAACAGCTGAAGCAACAGTGAAAGCAGGTTACACCGGTTTTCCCTGCGTTGTTGCCTCAGGATGCTGACACCACATATGATTTTTGGCTTCACTATGGCTGGGACAGAAATGGGGCAAGCACTGAGGCCCAGCCCTTCTGGGATTAGGGCAGTGGGCCATTACTTCCTCCACTTTATAATGTATAATCTCTCTAATCGCTTAGACCCCCTTCCTCTCCTATCTGCACATGACCCTAAAGGTTATTTATCACCTGCAAATGGCACAAAACTGGAGCTGAAGTGCCCACCAGCCCCAAACCATCTCAGGAGATGAAAACGTCTTAAAAAATTTCACAGCATGGAAGTAAGTACTTGCCAGCAAGAGGAGTACCGGAAAGGGTAAGGACGTGAAAAATTGAAGAAAGCAGAGAATATAATACCATGTAGATATGGTCCTGGAAACTTTTTTATAGTTACAGGATTGCCCAGTTTCTTGAGAAGTTATATCTCCATCAAAATTAAGAAACCATATCACACAGATCTAAAACTCCAGCTTTCCTCAGCCTCCTCAGACCTGCCCTGTCCCCGCCTCAGCCTCCTACCGTCCGCTGCTCTGTTCTAGGAATATGGCCTCATTTCCCAAACTGACATATGGAATGCAGGCGACAGCAAGACAAACTTGTTGGTTTGCCCAAAAAGAGAGTAAATGTTTTTTTCTCCCTTAAAATGACTTTTCTCACAATTCCTAGCAAAAATAAATGTGTTATCAGAGCACTTTAATAAGGGGATGGTTTCTATGTAAAAAAAATTGAAAGCAACATTTTCTGAGGAGGATACCAAACACAGGCAGCGACGCGGAGGTGACCAGGGGTTAGATGAACAAACACCTACAGAGCTCTACTGTGTCTCTCACGTTAGGAGTGAATTTGGTGTGCCCCAGGAGTCACGCCTCAGGCCATCACTGCACTGTCTGAAGCCAATTTTAACCTGCTACTAAAAAGGAAGAACCTCAGCAACATCAGTGATAGTCTCATGCATTTAAGTTATTTTACTAAGCAAACTTTTTAGAGTAAGGACATTTAAAGAAAGAAAGAGACCAGAAGATCTCCAAGACATATTCCATTCTAAAAGCAAAACACTGTCCAAAGAGCAATATGGAATGGATGACTTCACTTATGTCAAAATATGAAAAGTCTATGTGCACAAACATGCGAAAATGCATGGAGGTCTGAAAGGGCACGAAATCGAATGTTACAGCAGTTACCCATGAAGAAGAGTTCTGAGATGGGATGGGCTTCAAGGAAGGAAACGAGCAAGGAGAAGAGGCAGAAAAGAAAGAAAGGGCTAAATTCTTCAGACTACTTGCATTTTTAAAAAAGAAAACAGTATATGCATGTTACAGCATATAATACTACAAGAGATCATAAACACGCAGTTGACAATATTGTTCCTGGTAAGAAAAAAAGGCACTAAAAACATGGCAGAAATTTCATTTCATTGTTACACTTAAATATAATTTAACTACTTACCCATGAGAAAGAGGTTTAAATATTCATTGCCTCCTAAGTTAACAGAACTCAAGGAGAAGGAATAGAATCCCAAACACCCCGTGAACCAAATCAGCCAGACAATAAGTGTTCTTGTTCCAATACTCCAGTTATAAAACAGATCTGAGAGGTTGTACCCCTGAACTTCAGAAGGCTTATTATGAACAGGACTATAGACATCCAGTGACAGCAGTTCTGACAGCTTACAGGTGCTTGCCCTATTCCACTTGGCCATCGTATCTACTACCGCTTGTGCCTCTTCATGTCTTCCCTCTGAAAGAAGCCAGAAAGGTGTCTCCGGGAGCGCCCAAAAGCAGAAGACAAAGGGGATCGTCACTGAGGAGAGGATTAGCTGGTAGCTCCACCAGGTCCTGACGAAGTAGCCCGTCACAGCCACCACCATCGTTCCCAAGGCAAAAAAGGAATGCACTTGCACGGACGCCCACGTCCGAATCTTCCTGCCGACAAATTCAGTCACATAGACAAACACCACCACGAGATAGCCACTTGAAACCTGGAAAGCAAATGGGGGGATGGTTCAGATTTAAGATCACATTTATAATGACTGAGGGGTCTGATCTCTCTACAAATGACACATACGCAAGAAAGAAAATGACAAAAGAAATGTTTTTTGGAACCCATATCACATTTGTAAAAGGGCATTTAATCTGATCCATCCTTTGACTTTAAATGGGTCCTTTCATCTTCCTCTACCTTTTCCACCCCCAACAGCAAAACTTGAGAGGTTATGGATGAATAAATGTTAAACACTACCTTTGTTTCATGTAAATATTCCGTTATACTGCAAACTTATTTCTCAGTTCCTTGTAAGTGTACATATCAATTTATCCCTGTGTAGGAAGTCCTTATTATTAAATCCTAAATTTTAAACAGGGACAAAACATTGTGGTAACTAGTCAGAAGAAAAAAGATGTGACTAAACCTTTATTTTAACAGGCAACAAAGAAAAGACAGACACATTGGACTTCATGAAAGTTTAAAACTTCTGTGCATCAAGGGACACGATCACCAGGGTGAAAAGGCAACCTATGAAATTAGACATTTGCAAACCATACATCTGATAAGAGAAAGTTATCTAGGGTATATAGAGAACTTCTAAAACTCAACAAACAATTATACAATTCAATTCAAAAATGAACAAGCAAAGAACTTGGATTTCTCAAAGAAGGTATAAGAATGGCCAACAAGCACATGAAAAGATGCTCAACATCACTAATCATTAGGAAGATACAAAATCAAAATCACAATATATCATCTTATAGCCACTAAAATGGTTACATCAAAAAGCAGAAAATAGTAAGTGTTGACAAGGATGTGGAGAAATTGGAAGCTTTATGCATTGTTGGTGGGAATGTAAATTGGTACAGCCACTAAAAAAAAAAGTATGAGAATCCCTCCAAAAATTAAACATAGAATTACCATATGATCCAGCAATGCCACTTTGGGTATATACTTAAAAGAATTTAAAGCAAAGACTCAAAGAGATACCTGTACATCCCTATTCATGACAGCCTTATTCACAGTAGCTAAAATGTGAAAACAACCCAAGCATTCATAGACAGATGAATAGATAAGCCTCATATGGTATATACATGCAATGGAATATTATTCAGCCTTGAAAAGGGAGGAGGAAGAATATTCTGACACATGCTAACACATGAGTAAACTTTGAAGACATTATGCTATATGAAGTAAGCCAATCACAAAAAGACGAATACTGTATGACTGCATTTATATGAGGTACCCAGACTAGTCATATTCACAGAGAAAGTAGAATGGTGGCTGCTAGATGGGGCAGAGAGGATGCGGAGTTATGAAATGGATGCAGAGTTTCAGTTCTACATGGTGAAGTGTTCTGGAGATGCCCGATGGTGATGGCTGCACGGCGGTGTGAACGTGCCTGACAGCACTGACCCACACACGTAGAGAGTCAAGGTGGTAAATTTTATGTTGTGTGTCTCTTACCACAATAAAAAAATGGAGAAAATGTTATTTTGAAAATAGGCCTATCTTTAACAAAATTTAGATTACAACAGCAATATGCAATCATTCTTGGAATAAAAAAATAAATCAAATGATAGATTTTTGGGGGGATGAAAGGATTAGAATTTTTACTGCACAATTATTTCACATTTGGCTTTTATAACACAAATCATAAAATTAACTTTTGCAAAATTATTCTAGAGTACCACCAATTTCCCAAAATGCCTCTCTTTATCCTCTAATATTTGAATTATACTCTTTTGAAACTTCTTGTGGATATCAATTTCTGAGCCCTTGGATCATCCATCCCTGCGAGAGGGACACCTGCCCTTCTCCGTGCTCAGCAAAATTACAAGCTTTCCCGCAGGTAAAAACTGTACTCCATCATCCTCGGCCAGTGACCTTCAAACAGAAGCACTGCTGCTGTTGTTTAGTGATCTGGAACCTGTCTGAAAGCCTCACCAAGTGTGGAAGCAAGGTCCTCACTCGCTGCTTTCCTTCCAGTGACGGTCCCCATCGTACACAGTGCCTGCCCCTTGCTGGGTGCTGTACCGCAGATGTTTGCTTGAGTCCCACTGAATCCTGATAACAGCCCTGTGAAGTAGGGGCTGTTTTGTACAGCTTATAGTTCAGAAACTAAAACTCAAAGAGGATACCATGGTTTCCCATGGTCACACAGCTAAGAAGCCAATATATGACAAAGCTGTATTTAAACTCATGCCCTTCCCACTAGAATCCCCTGTTCTTCAGAACAGAAAGGCCTGATGCCTTCCTGTTTGCATTCTTCCTGCACAATACACAAATGACTTTCTAAACAATATACCTTAACCATCTGTTTGGCCCATAAATGCAGGGCCTGACTAGATGAATATAATTAATTGCTCAGAAATAAAATAATACCTTAGTAATTGTGGAATGTAGATCATGTGCCAGGCATAGAGTCGAACAAAGCATTTCAGCCTAGTAAGCAACAATTTTTCATTTTAATGAGTTACATTCTAAACAGAGTGCATTAATATTCCACAGAAAAACTTCTGCCAAGAAGAGAACAAAGGTTAATCCTTGATCTCTTGCCCTAGGTTCTAAATAAGCACATCTAAGAGAATTAAGGTTTAATGTGAAAACACTGTGGCAGAATTAATGAGGTTAAAAAACACAACTCACAATAGCAAGAAGAAAGCGCGCAAGCATGAAGCTGTAATAATCCAGCATGAACGCCGCCGCTATGCCGAACACATACATGCCGATGCTTGTGGACAACAAGACCATTCGTCTTCCCACCCTGAAAAAGAAGGAGCAACAGAGGAAGAGGCAAAGTAGAGTTGTAACAGTTTGAACATCCACCCAGATCCATGAACAATGAAAGTTACCGATATTTTTAATAGTTTATCTATTTGATTGTTGTTATTCGTTCGTTTTGAGCGGATCATGAGTAAACACTAGGTTTCTTCCAGAGGCCAGTCTTTCCCAGGAGAAGAGAGGCTTCGGCCTAAGCTGCCAATATACATGTATGATCACTCTGGGTGATCCCCAGAAGACCTCTAACTGGGGTCTTTTGGGGAAGAGGAGGGAGGATTTGTCCTTTCCCTCCCAGGGTTTCCACTCTGACCTGCTGGATCATCTCTTCTGTGGGGCTGGCTCCGCCCACCAAGGGTGCAGCAGCTCTTGCTGACCCCCTAAAGACAAAGGTCTTGCTACATTCTGCTCATAGAACAAGGTGTTTGTACTTGCCCTATATTTTTATAATTTGGATGGGTATTTCTTTGTTTAAAAGGCAAATAAAACACAAATTATATTCCTGATAAACTTTTTAAAATTGAGATAGAATTCACATGCCATAAAGATCAGTTTTTGAAAAGATACGATTCAGTGGTTTTTTGTGTATTCCCAGAGTTGTGCAATGCTTATTACTATCTAATCCCAAAAGGAGCTGCACCCAGGAACCATCGCTCCTCATTCTCTGATCCCTCCAGCCCTTGACAACCACTCATCTAGTTACTTTCTGTCTCTGTAGAGTTGCCTATTCTAGACATTTTATACAAATGCAGCCACACAATCTATGACCTTTTGCGTCTGGCTTCATTTACTTGGCATTGTGTTTTCAAAGGTCCAGCCAGGCTGTAGCAGGCATCAGCACTCCAGTCTTTTTCATGACTGACATTCCATGGTATGGCCACACCACATTTTGTTTATTTGTTCATCAGATGATGGACATTTGGATTATTTCACTTTTTTATTATTATGATTAATGCTGCCATGACAATCCCTGAACAAGATTCTGGAGGAACTTACGTTTTCATTCTCTTGGGTATACGCCGAGGAGTGAAATTGCTTGGTCAAATGATAACTCTTAAGTTTTAGCTTTTTGAGGAACTGCTGAACTGTTTTCCAAAGTAGCTGCCCCATTTTTACAATCCCACCAGCAACGTATGAGCATGTCAATTCTCCACATGCTCCACAACTCTTGTTATTGCCTGTCTTTTTGATTACTGCCATCCCAGTGAGTATGCAGGGGCATCTCATTGTGATTTTGATTTATATTTTCCTAGTGATTAATGATGTTAAGCATTTTTATATGTGCTTATTAGACATTTGTATATATTCTTTAGAGAAATATCTATCCAAATCCTGTGCCATTTTTAAATTGGATTTTTTTAATTGTTGGGTTGTAAGAGCTATTTATATATTCTGGATACTAGACCCTTATTAAGACATATGACTTGCATATATTTTCTCCCCATGCGCTGTCTCTGACAGAGAGTTTTAAGGCAAAAGAATATAGTCCCAAGATTCCAGCCAACAGGTTTGCCTGATATAGCGGAAGGCATGTGAGCAATAGAAAGTGTCATCTTCACACCCTTGGTCTTCTCTGCTCCCACACAAGACTAGGCTAGATTGTTGGCCCTTCCCATTAATGTTCCCCGATCTCATTTGAGCTTTGAATGCCATCTTTTAAAATTTTTATTTATTGATTGAGGGGCGGGGGGAGAGGAACATCAGTTTGTTGCTCCACCTGTCCATGCATTCACTGGTTGGTTCCTGTGTGTGCCCTGACTGGGGAGCGAACCCACAACCCTGGTGTGTCGGGACGATGCTCTAACCAACTGAGCTATCCTGCTAGGGGTGGATCTTTTTGTAGATACTTGTTATCAACAAAGACATTCTTCTATTCTTAGTTTTTATCATGAATGGATTTTAAAATTTATTAAATGCTTTTCTTGTGTTTACTGAGTTGGTGATAAGAATTTTGTCCTCTAATATGTTAATATGGTCATTTCTACCATTAGCTTCTAATATAAAACATGTTCCACACCTTGTTCCTCTGCCCCCATTAATTCCAATCTCATATATTGTCCAGGTCTTTGTCTCTCTGAGTTTTATTATTGACACTTTTTTCCTGAACTATCATCCAGTTTACTAATTCTTTCTTTAGCTGTGTACAAAAGGTTGTTTAAAGTACCCAGAAAGTTGGTTGGTCACTTTTTAAAATTTTTCTAGATGTTCTAAGTAATTATTCTTCAATTTTATGTCATTTTAAAATACAATTTCCAGACTTTTATCAATGTTTTAAAACTTGTCTTTCACTTCTTTGAGAAGAGCAAACATAGTTACTTTATTATCTATGCCTGATAATTCCAGCATGTGAAGTCTTTGTGCAGAACTAAGCTACATCTCTTAAACAGCAAGCTATTTAATGAAAAAAGAATATTCAAAATAATAACTAGTATCTGTTGAGTGGTTCCTATATCCAAAGTATTTTTTATGTATTAATTTCACAATAACTCTTGGAGGTGAGTGCTATTATTTTCATCTCCAGCTTACAAACAGGATTCTTTCAAAATGCAGGTCAAGCAATTCACCCAGGGGACCACGGCTAATAAGTAGAACCAGGATTTGAACACAGGTGGACTGTCTTCAGAACGCATCTTCTTACCAATATGTTATTTTGTGAATGTTATTTAACAGATCAGCAAAGAGGCAGGTATTTAGAGTGGAAGCATGAAAACAACTGAAATTGTTAACACAGTTCTCTGTCCCCTGAGAAAACCAGACAGGAAAATAAACCCCGCACTAATGCAACAATGCTAAATATTTCATTTTTACCTGTCAGAAAGGTAGCCAAAAATCAGCGCTCCCAACAGGACTCCGAACATAAATGTGGGCTGGATCAGCCTTGCAAACCATTCTCGGTTACAGACCAGATCCCACTGAGTCACCACGGTGCTGTACCACTTGCTGTTGTCGTAGATGTAGCCATCCAAACAAGGAAAGCTACTTTTAATGCCATTGTACTCATTGTTCAAAAGTGACACATTTTCCCACCGGTACCTGTGACAACTTTTGAGCTCCCAGACCTCACCATCCTCTTGCAGCACTACAACGTGATATTCCTCTTGTGAGGTAAACAGGGTCCAGACATCCTCCAACCTCCAAATAGAGGTATTTTGGAAAAGGACCTGCCTCACTTTGCCTGGGGGCCTGCAGGTGTGCTTGGGGAGCACTGTCATAAACACAGAAGCCAAGTAGTGGATACCACAAGAGATGTTCTGGAAGGCACATGTGAAATAGATAAATATCTGGTATCTGAAAAGAGAAGGAAAGCAAGTTATTATATTTGGTCTATGGACTTAAAAAAAGAATGTAAGCAAATATGAATGGTCTCTGTCAGGGTTAGCTTAATATATGCACAGATAAACACAGAAATAACCTTGTAGGGTTACTGGGAGGATGAAATGAGAGCCTACATGTGGAAGACTTACAATAAGCATTTGTAGTTCTATTGTCACCTCCATTATACAGATGAGGACGCAGGAAGTAAAATGCTCAGTACCATATAGTTTGTACTCAGTGGAGCCAGGATTGGAACTCAGACATCCAACCCCAGAGCTGATTTTTTATCCTTCTGCTTCCAGAAGGATGAACTGAGATAATATATAAAGGGCCTGGCTGAGCACCAGGGCGGGTGCCTAACTGTGTCCAGGAGAGCCTCAGGGTTGAGAGTGAGAGCTATGGAGATGAATGGATCTCCAACGACATCCAATTCTGCTCTGTTGTTACCCGATCTGTGACTGAGGCACACACCCCAGTTTTCTCGTGTTTTCTCGTGAACAATGAGAGTGATGCTACCAATCTCATAGCTGTAGCGACCATTAAAGAAGCCCAGATGTGCTGATGACAGAGCTGGACACAGTCCAGCATTCAACAGTGCAGGTATTAGGAGGAAGCAAGGGACAGCTGGGACCTCCTGCCCCTCTTCACTGGCTCAGTAACTTCCTTTTTGTGGACACTGGGAATCACAACAAAAAGTTGTGCAACTATCCACCTTGAAGAGCAGCACCATGTCATTTCTTCACTACAAACTTGGGAACAGGAGGTAAGGCAGATATTATGACTCCCATTTTGTGGATAGGAAACTGAGACACAATATTCCCAGAATCGTGTTGGAGGTAAGTGGCTGGCCGGGATGCAGACTTGCCTCCAAATCTCTGATCAGCGTGCCGTACGGCCCCTCACCCAGCCTCCTCTCCTCCCGAAACATTCGGGATCAGATAGACTACGTTTCTCCATAAATGAATGAATGACCGAATGAATGACTGAATACATTTTAATATTTTTTATTAATTTAACAAATGAAAAGAGGGTACCAAGTGTAAAAAGGTGAAACCTAGGTCCCACCAGGTGAGAGCTGTGGGTCTTTGGCCCTGCCAGCCTCCTTTGCAAGATCGCAATGGGCATCAAATAAAGCACTGTGTGTAACTAACTACCTGGCACAGTGTAGCTGGCACATACTAGGTTTCTATAAATAGCCACAAATTCTGCCTAACGGTTGTTCCTAAGGGTCAAGGCCTGCTCAGGTACTAAGAGAAACCCAGGGCGCGGTGGGGCACAGTAGCAGGCACACTCGGGAAGTGAAAGAGGATTAGAGAATGGGCACGGGGTCAGGCACTCCTCTGTCTGTGTGGCCGGGCCTCTCCGGCTGGCTGAGCCTCAGGACTCCGGCTTCCGCAGAGCGCGCGTGCCAGGTCCCACCTGCCCCGCAGCAGGAGCGCCAGGAGAGCCCGCAGCCGCCGCTGCCGAAGTGAACCCCCAGCGCCTTTCTCCTCGCTGTGGGAGGTCCTGCCGCCAGATTCCGAGAGTCTGGACGGGAGTCTCCCAACTTCTCTGAGACACGTGGGGTGAAAGGTGTTTTCAGATCTCGAGCGCAGCGCGAGGACCTCACTGCAACGGAAAGAAACAGACCCCACCGAAGCCTCCACCCACGTGACTGCCGCTCCGCTAGGCCACCCTCCCTCCTCACTCCCACCCAGCTCCCTACCTGCCGAAGTGCCCCAGGCGGTCAAAAACTATCTCCAAGTGGCCGGACTCCATGGTGCTGCCGCGCACTGCGCTCCGAAGCCGGACGCAACCCAATCTTACCCAGTGCTGGGGCTCTGGGGCTTCGGGGCGCCCCGCCCCGCCCAGCCCAGTGCTCCGGGCTCAGCAGCCGGCCTGACCCACCCGTCCCCAACCCCCCTACCCCGGTCCCGCGCCGGCCGCGCTCCGGGGGCCGCCTCCGGCCTTCAGCGTCCCCGAGCGTCCAGGTGCTTGGTCTGGCGCGCGCGCGGGGCCAGACTCTGTTCCTCGGTTACTCAATCCCTCTCTCTCGCCAACCCTTGCCCGGCAGCCCCGGCATCTCCCTACCACCAGGGCCTCTTCCCCAGCGTGGTGTGGCCCCGGAGCCCACCTTCAATTCGTAATATTCACGGCATCCGCGTGCTTGCGTGAGGCAAGAATGCAGAGGGGCTCGGGTTCTGTCTGGGGGCCACAAGAACCTAGCATCTTCAGAATGGCACGCCTTATAATCGTGACTTTCAAACTTTCGTATTTTAGTCTACTGCAGGACTTGGTTTTGTGTGTACATTTCTGGACTCTACTCTGATCGCGAGTGTCGCTTTCTCAGAGAATCCAATAGTTTGACCGCCAAGACAGGTTTCCACAAGACAGAGCAATGAGGATGGATTCTGGTCACTCGGACGGGGCAGGATCTCGCAAGGCTATGTCCAAGATTTCAAGGTAACCAAAAAGCAATGGAAACTCGCTTGGTGGAGACTTAAGCACAGCAGTGAAAATAAAAGTGTAATAGATTAGGATTTGAAAAAGAGAGGAAAGCCCGTTTCCCGAAGTACCTCACCTACTCCCCACAGAAACATTTTCTTTTGAAATGCAAACACTCCTGGACTGATTCAACAATAATTAAGACACAATTTGGAGTGAATTTTTTAAGTGGGAAATGCTGGGGAAATACAAGTGGTAGGGAGAGGAGGAAGGAGTAGTTTTCCAAAGGCTGACCATAAAAGGAAAGGTGGGGACCACAGGTCAAGACCCAATATTGCTTCAAAGCACCAAAAGGAGAGTTAACTGGAAAAGACAGGGGAGAAAAAGACTTTCATCTGCTATTCTAATTACCACAGATAGAAATGCCACAATGTAGATAACACAGAAAAATTCCTTGAAAGACACAAACTGTGAACACCCACTAAAGAAAGATAACCAGAATAATTCTATATCTATTAAAGAAACTGAAAATGTAGGTGAAAACCTTCCCACAAAGAAAACCCCAGGCCCAAATGTTTAAGGACGAAATAATACTGATTCTGCACAGCTTTGGACAATTGAATAGGGAATACCTCCCAAGACGTAAGAACACTACAGACCTATATACCACTTAAACATAGATACAAGCATTCTTAAAATTTTAGCAAACTGAACACATCTTTCCATAAAGAGGAGAATGCATCATGGCCATGGTAGGTTTATCCCAAGAAAGCAAAAGTGGTTAACACCTGAAGAGCAATCAATATGCTTTACCAGATGAACAGACACCATACTATCATCTCGAAAGATGCAGAAAAAGCATTTGACAAAAACCCAACATTCTTTCATAATAAGAACACTCCACAAACTAGGAATAGAAGGTGCTACAATCTGTTTCTGCCTGTAGAACACTTCTGACACCAAATGTGTGGGGTCTGGCCTCAGACCAACAACCAGTTCTCCTCCAGCTCTCCCAACACCAGCCGGATGACCTACGATGCATTCCAATTCTGACACTGACTACCTGGAGTTAGCACCAAACTCCGCAAGCAAAGGGCGCAGTCCCACCCTCTGTCCCCTACTTCAGATGCCAACCACAGGCCCAGGCCTCCTGTGCTTCTGATCAACTGGCTATAAATCAGGGGTTCCCACAACCCCCTCCTCAGGATTTTGTTAAAACAGCTCACAGAGAACTAAGGAAAACACTTTATTTACATTTACGGTTTATGGTAAAGGGTGTTTGTTATAAAGGATACAGATGAACAGCCAGATGAAGGGGCACATAGCACAAGGTATGGGAGGAGGGGCATGGACCCTCCATGCTCTCTTCAGATGCTCCACCTTCCCAGCTCAGTGGTGCATTCCAGAGGCTCTCCCAACCCCACAGCTCAAGGGTTTTACGAAGGTTTCATTACATAGACATGAATGATTGTATTGTTGGTTGATCATTGACAATTAACTCAATCTTCAGCCCATTCCTCCTCCCACAGATTGGGGAGTGGGGCTGAAAGTTGCAACCCTCCAACCGTACCTTGGTCTTTCTCAAAACCAGCCCCCATTCTGCAGCTACCCAGGGGCCCCCAACAACCAGTTATTGCATCAACATAACAAAAAGACACTCTGGAGATTACAAGGGTTTTACAAACTCTTGTGTCAGGAACCTAGGACTAGGACAGAATATGATAATAATAATAATAATAATAATAATAATAATAATAATAAAGACTCTCCCATTGCCCCAATTACACAGGAAATTAAAAGAGTTTTAGGAGCTCTGTGACACAAACTAGGAACAAAGACCAAATATATATTTCTTATTATATCACGATATCATAGGAGGGAATTTCCTCAATTGCTTAAGGACGGCAACAACAAACCCATAGCTGCCAGTGTACTTAACGGTGACAGACTGAATGCGTTCTCCCTAAGATCAGGAACAAAACAAGGATGGCTACTCTCTCTGAGACTGTGCAGCTGTGTACAGGGGGACTAACTGGGGCATTAGGCAAGGAAAAAGGTAATAAGGCCCATATGGGAGAGGAAGAAGTAAAAATGTGTTTCTTCACAGGTGAGGTCATCTAAATGGAAAATCTGATGAAGTCTCCAAATAAAAACCATTAGAATAAGTGACTTTAGCAAAGTTGCATGATATAAGATTGATATACAACAATTAATTGTACTTCTTTATACCAGCAACGAACAACTGGAAATTAAAAATGTTTTAAGTATCATTTTAATAGCACTAAAAATGTAAATGCTTAGGGATAAATTTAACAAAAAGATGTCCAAGACACTAAAAATTAGGTATGTTGCATGCATTCTGGAACTTGCATTTCCCCCTGAATATTTGTTTGTGAAATCTATCCCTGCTGGTATCTATAGTTCTACTTAATTTCTTGTTCATTGTTATATAATGTTCCAACACACCACAATTTACTTAATCATCTCCTAAATGATAGACATGTTTATTGTATTCAGATTTTTGTTGTAAATTGTCCCTATGCACATATATTGGAGTTTTTCTAAGGTTTATATCTAGAAATGGAGTGCTCTGTTGTACAGTGTGCACATCAACTTTATTAAATATTGTCAAATTGCTCCCCAAAGTAGTTATACCAATTTGACTTCCACCCAGGAGGATATAAAAGTTCTACCCTCACCTTTCCCCACACTTTCACCAATACTTGCATCATCAGACTCTTAAACATTTAGTCAACTTCAGAGATGTGAAATGGTATTACATTGGATTTTCACCTACAGTTCCCTAATTACTACTGAAGTTGTACATCTTTTCACATGTTTTTGATCATTTGGATTTCCTCTTCTGATAACTAGCTATTCATATTTTTGCACATTTTTCTATTAGGTTCTTTTTATTGATTTGTAAAATTTTTGCACGTTCCAGGTACCTATCCTTTGTCAGTTGTTATAAGTAGTTGTGTTTTCAATCTCTTTATGCTGTTTTTTGATGATCAGAAGTGGTATACTTTTTTTTTAAAGATTTTATTTATTTATTTTTAGAGAGAGAAGGGAGGGAGACAGATAGAGAGAGACATCAATGTGCGGTTGCTGGGGGTCATGGCCTGCAACCCAGGCATGTACCCTGACTGGGAATCGAACCTGCGACACTTTGGTTCACAGCCCGAGCTCAATCCACTGAGCTATGCCAGCCAGGGCAGAAGTGGTATACTTTTAATGAAGTCAAATTTATAAATACTTTCTTTTACAGTTTGTGATTTTGTGTCTTGTTTTTAACATTCTGTTTTATTACCATGAGGTCACAAAATATTCTATTATATTTTCTTCTTAGGTCTTAAATCCACTGGAACAAACTGGTTTGTGGTAAAGATCAATTTTGGTATTTTCCATTCAGATAAAAAATTGTCCAGTACCACTAATTTGTTAAATACTCCATCCTGTTCTCAGCTGTGCCTCCTCTGTCATCTACAGTTTCTGTTCATGTGTCAGTTCGTTCTGGGCTCTCTAAATCTATTCCATTGGTTTATTTATTTTTCCCTGTGCCCATGTGTCTTTAATTTTATATTTTCATACAAATTTTTCCACTTAACCTTTTATTACCCTTGGTCCAAAACAGCACTTATAAAGTCACCATGATCTTCATTTTGCCAAATTCAGTGCAATTTTCAATTCTTGTTTTACTCAATCTCCACTGTTAAAGAATATTTGTTTTAAAAGGTAAAATCATGGCTTGCATGCAAATATAAAATGAATACATCAATGGTTTTATTTTACTCATAAATTAATGAGGGAACTAATAAGATGTTACAATCAGTTCAAAGAATTCAATGAAGCCCACATATAAAAGTAGCAAGGAACACTAGGATGAATTTACAAGCAGATGCAGAACTAGTCTACCCACAGGGCAATTGCATTTCACCAATTCAACCAATGCAATTAGTTGCAATCCACAAGATGAAATTTATATTTATGGAGAAGAGTCATTTGCATTATTATCAGTTTTCTACAACTTACAAAGGTGTAGCTTAGGGACAATAAAAGAGGGAGATAACCCCCAAAATTATGTTAGACAGAATTCTCATTTCTTTGGGGGGTGCATGTATAAGTCTTTCACAGTGTTTACTGGCACCAGAATATCAGTTTGTCCCTCTTGAAACATCTTTCTTGGCTTCTCTGCCACAACTTTCTTGATTATTTTTCTTGCCTTACTGTTTGCTATATCTCAGTCGCTTACAACCTCCTCCTCTTTCTAATTTCTCTAAATGTTGGAGTGTCCCAGGGCTCTGAGCTCATTTCTCTTTTTACATTCTCCCTTCATAGCGTGATGGAGTCCAAGAGTT